ATTTGAAATGCTGTGTGTCAGTGCAGGGTACTAGCAAGATGCAGTAAAGACATTGATGTGTTATGCAAATACTGACCCTGAGGGTGAACAAACCTGGTGGGGAGTTAGGGAAAGGGACACAGTTTTCTTTCTGGACGTATTGTTGTTCTGAGTGGAATGCTAGGTATTCTGAAAGTCTTCGCGTGACATAATTTGTCATTTTTGTAATATGAATTGAATGGCAGGTTAGCATTGCTCACTGGCTGGTTTCCAACTTCTGACTGGTGGTTATTCTGTGATTGCTGAAACTCCATTTGACGGAGAGTTCTGACCTCTTCTTGCCTGTTTTCTGCCATCGGCCAGATTCTTGACAAATTTTCCAGTTGCAGCAGCCACATGAAGAAGATGTTATCACAACTTATTACTTGAGAAAGATTATATCATTTACTGTATGTCAGAAATCCTGTGAAACAGTTACTTTCCACCTAAATAAAAGTCCTTTTTTATTTAGGTTCATTATGTTATAGGTCCTTGTTTTTCAAAATGAAGTTGTCCTGGAATTGTGAAACTAGCTAATTAACTGCCAAAACCCAAAGCATGTAAATATTTTTGGGTCTTTACTGCTGCAGTTTTTTATGTGTCGACTTTGGCAGATGAAGAGTAAATTTTCCATTTATTTTCTTATGGACAAAACTTTTGCATCAGCATTATGATATTTGACAGAGTTAGACCATAAAGGTATCCAGTGTTGATTTTCTTGATGCTCCAGGCATTTTGGAAGTGCAAAAAGATTACTGTGTTTCAAATTGTACCCACAGTGTGAGTATGTACATGGAAGTCACATCTTGAAGATTTGTTGGAAGAATGTGATTTTTGGCAAATAGCCTGCCTCTTTCATGCTTATGAGAAGAAAATATGTAACGCAGTCTGACTGTGTAAGTAGAGCACAGGTTTAGGCAGGCTTGTTTTTCTAATTAAAATACACTGGTGCAGTATACAGACAGTGTTACAGAGACTGGAGGCTAACAAGTCATATGAACCTGGAAAGAGAATCAAGCTTTATGCTCCTCCTGCCCACTTCTAGACCTCAATCAGAAGGAAACAGCGTATTCACCCTTCTTGAAGAAGCAGACAATAACCACCACCTTCTGAAATGTAGTTGATAGGGCGACACTAGAAGCAACCAAGAAGTGTTGTGGCACTGATGTGCTTACAAAGAGAAGACAAACGATCCTGTGTGATGATCAAGAACTTTGTGGCCAGTGCTCTCAAACTAGGGGCTCAGAAGTTTATGCGAAGGTTCTGTTTGCAGCTTTCCTGCTAATGAAATCGATGAGGTGTGCAGTAAGCAGAATGTGATGTGGACAACTGATCTTCAGCTAACAGCATTGGTACCAGACCCTGATACTAGTGGTACTGGCTATCCTTCAGCATGATGTGTCGGGGTTACATACTTTATCTTCTTAGAGTTCTTAATTGCTAGAAGTACGGAAAGGACGTGTCTTTGAGGCCAGCACCGTGAAAGTGACCACAGGGTGCAGATGCAGATGGTTGGGCTGCAGTGTCATCTTAGAGTTGAAAAATGTCACTGGGTAGGTCTGTGTGAAAAAGGAAAAGCCATTCTAGTATAATGGAAGGTTAAAAATTTTATTTCTGGCCCTGCAGATAATTAGTTTTTCCTGGAAATTACTGCTACTTAGTAATGACCAAGAAGTGAGCTTTCTTTGTTGGTTGGTAAAGATCACTTTTTTCCAACCGTTAAAGCCTTCTGTGTTTTCTATGCTGTGCTGTTTTCTTTTTGTGCTGGGACATACTGCGTGGCAGTCCTGTCATGTTATGAGCACTGTTCCTTAGAGGTTTTGTCCATTTTTTTTGTCTGCTCTACTATTTTTGTTTATTATATTGGATATTCTTGCAACAAATTCCAGAGAAACGGATTGCTAGTTCTGCCTCCTCAAGCTTATCTGTAATCAGTATGAGAGGAAAAGAATGACGTTTTCTTTCTTTTCCACATCGTTTCCATTGTCTTAGGGTTTGCCACAGTTGACAGTTTCACAAGTGTAAGAGCAAAATGTGTGCCCTGTGATCAAATGTTAAGTTTTTGCTGTGTCTAAACTTCAGTTCTGGTTGAAATTTGCCTGTAATACTGTTGAAACATAGAACACGTTTATGTAACTTGTCACAACACTCAATAATGCTGTATTGGGGGAGAATAAAAACGTTGGTAGCTGAGATGACTGATGTTACTTTTTTCCAGTCCTTGGTAATGGAGCAAGTTTCCTTTAAAAGTTTGAAGATAGCATGAATTGAGAGACTAGCTGCCTGACAGTACGTGATGTTACAGTTTTATTGTCATCTCTTCTAAAGGAAGGCCTAGCTTTAAATTGATAATGATGGTAGTAGCTTCATGTAGGTATTCAAGAATCTTTTTTTAGGAGAGGCATTTTGTAGCAGTAGGACTAACAGATTGGAAAGGTGCAATTAATACTTTATTTGAGCTAGCTTCAGTAAAATTGTAGAATCCAGTGTTACCTATGCAGTCATGTGATGAAACTTGATTGAGGAATTCATTCTGGGTTAAACACTACCTTTTCTGTGCTAGTGAGAGGGAGGGAGTGTAGTGGAAACTGCTGAAGTAGCAGAAAGAATTCCAGGTTTCTCTGAAAAGCTTATCGGTGGCATAGTGTTCTAATGCCTAATGTCTAAAGGGAGTAGAGGTTGTTGCCCTCAACCAGGTTCCCCCCTCATTGAGAAATGCATTCCTCTTGCTCACCTGGAAATTCCACATTTATTTCTGCCTTTTAACAATGACAGGTGTTAATTTTAATACAAGTATGTGGGCTTTTAAATATGAAAGGTACTGAATAATGTTTTCTGCAAACATAGCTTTGTCCTCTGGCCTGGCAAATGGTTAAGCAGTGCTACACCAAGGGGGAGCGTTATTGTATGTAAATTGCTCTAGTTTTATACTTATATTAACACCCATTTAGGAACCTGTTGAAACAGATATGAGTACATTGAGACAGCTTATGTTCTAATTATGGGCTATTTATCTTATCAAAATGCTTAAACAGAACTCACTGTCTCTGTGTCCTTCTGTAAGGCATTAATTTAATGGTTTGGTCACATGTCACTCCTACTTCCATTTGAGGTCTTCTAGTCTGAACAAAGTGGGTGGTGGGTTTTTTTTTTTTTGTTTGTTTTCCCAGTAAGGTGGTTGGGAAGGTACTATGAAAGCTGTTAATATGATTAAGACTCTTCCAGGGTTTGAGTAGCTCTGTGTTCTCTTAGGAGTCTTTGGTTATAATGGTCTGTGATATACCAGTGACAGTGTCTTTTGGGTAATGGTGCGGAATTTTTAAACTTATGTTATACTTTCTCTCTGTCACGTATTCAGTTGCTTATCTGCATTTTTCTAGCACTTCATGTTCAAAAGCAACTAAGTTTTTTGAGAGGAAAGCAGCAGAGGAAAACTACTGGGAAAATAGTAGTTTTCAGAAGAATGAGGGGTTTTTGTAGCTTATATGGAGAAGTTGGCCAGGTGTTCCCAGAACCTTTTTCTTCCTGATAAACGCTACTCCTTCTTGCTTTTTTGGGTCCTGTTTTGGGTTGCAAGCTGCTTTTCTTGGGCTCACACTGCAGTCCGTAATGTAATCATGTCTCCTTTGGGATTTAAAGTGCTTTGTTTTCAAGCAGGATTGTTTACTTGCCTGTGTTTCAGATCAGTCCCAGTGATGTGGACTTATCATCCCCATGAGCCAAATTATTAACTTCATTTATGTTACACTGTCAGCTCTGTTTTATAGTACGGACTGTTGCTGTTCTGGGCCACTATTGTCTTGAAAGCCGCTTTTCTGTGATCTTAATTGATCCAAGGCTCATCTGCCCTGTAAGAGCTTTAGAGTTCAGCTGCAAGTGAGGCATCATCTAAGTAAAAAGCTTTAGAAAGTGGCCTATGGTTGTGCAGCTCCCTTTTTTACAGAACACAGCAGCCAGGGAGCAGGTCATCTTTAGAAGAAACTGTAGCTGAGCTTGCAGTATACAGCCTCCAATAGCTTGTACAGAAGAAATATCAATGTGCGCCTCTGTTTTGAGGACAGTGATTTTTCAAATTATTTGCTGTATTCTTCATTTTTTTCATGAGGATCCGTGACACCATAAATGAGATGGAAGTCAAGAAGATAAAGGAAAATGAGTTGTTATGAGGAGAGGAATGCCTGTTCCATTTTTTTCCCTGTTTTTGAAATGTATAATAGAGTGGGAGAAAATACATAGAAAGATACACTTGATGACAACATCAGCAAACTGAAAGAGTGTAGGTTTAGATTAGATATTAGGAAAAAAATTCTTTACTGTGAGGGGGGTTAGGCACTGGAACAGGTTGCCTAGAGAAGCCCCATCCCTGGAAGTGGTCAAGGCGAGGCTGGGTGGAGCTCTGAGTAATCTAGTCTAAGGGAAGGTGTCCCTGCCTGTGGTAGGGGGTGGAATGAGATGAGCTTTAAGGTCCTGTCCCATCCAAACCGTTCTTTGATTCTGTGAACAGAATCTGTAGGGCTTCTCTGTGACATCAGGTAAAAGAGCTTGAGTAAGTGGCACAAAGTCATGAAATAACTAGGAAATACTTAATGAGAGTAAAGAAATGCTTGTGAGATAAACCTGTACTCATGAGGAAGGTTTAAGGTAGTTAAAAGGACAGGATGGCTGCTATGTCTAGACCAGTACCAACTAAATCATGGGCTGGAGGAGAAACATGAAGATGAGATTGTGTCTTAATTACTTTTGAAACTCTGGCTGATGGACTCCGTACTTCTCATTAATATTTTGTTTGAAGTGTTACTGACTAGCATTTTAATGACACAGATTCTGTGGTAGTGTTATATCCATTTTCAACCCTTATTGTTAAATGAATAGTATGCTTGAGTATGACAGCAGTAGCAGCATGAAGCTTGTTTAGCATGGGGTTGTGTTCACAAATTGGAAATACACTCGTGTGACCAGCTTTGTTGTTGTTGCACTTCCAGATGGATGGAGGCCTGTTTGAATGAGGAGCTGCCTGCCACAACAGAGCTGGAAGAAGGATTGAGAAATGGAGTCTACCTGGCCAAACTTGGAAACTTTTTCTCCCCTAAGGTGGTTTCTGTGAAAAAAATCTATGATAGGGAACAGACTAGATATAAGGTGAGTGCTGTTGACCGTGGATACTTCTTTAGACAGACATCTAAAACAGGAATATGTACACATGGAGGTAGTATGAAAAAATAAGCAGAAAGTTAGTTTATATTAGTCTTACCTTAAAAACTCTGCTTTCACTCTAGAATAATGATTAAGTGAGGGACTAGGCGGACTCTTAGCTTTGTATCTAAGCTTGCACTTAGGTGAAATAATTTGTCGTAACCAGTCAATATAAGTGTGTATAGAAAACTTCTGACTTCTGTAAAAGTGCTGTTTTCACCATCAGTCTTAATGAGCCTCCCTGCTGTTCTTGGCAGCTGTGATATTTTGTTTCTTACTGCTCTCCCTCTTGTTTCTGCCTGTTTTTATTTCAGGCAACTGGTCTCCACTTCCGACACACAGACAATGTAATCCAGTGGCTGAATGCCATGTCTGAGATTGGTCTCCCCAAGGTAACTTCTATGTTGTACATGCAAATAAATAAATAATCTCAGAAAAGCTTTGTGTTCTGTGGAAGCATTTGCTGTTGTACAAAAATCAGCACACTCAATCTAGTTAATTCTAGATTTATGTCCCTGTAGAAACTCTCTCCTAAAACTTGCTGGAAGATTTCATTCTGCTATGTGTGTGAGAACAATTAGGAGTAAAATAATTAATCCTTCTGTACTGTATCCTTATTATTACTAATCTTGCATGACATCTGCATTACATTGTTCTTGCCTTGCATTCTTTTGAACAGTATCTGAGCTACAGTTTGATTGTGGAAGTTTTTTTTTGAAATCTATGCTAAAAATAGGAGCACAACAGAAAATACTATATTCTTCATTTTTTCAGATTTCCCTGTGAAATTTTCATATCAAGTTGAAATGTTCCTGGTGTAGCTTGATCAAATATGAATTGTTGGCTTGACTAGAGAAATGGCTAGATAAACTTCCCTGAGCTAATAAACACAGTTGCCTGAAAATATATATGGAACTGTGGTAGTGTTGGGCTTATAGCCAAGGTTTTTTGTAAGCCATGTTATGCTTAGTCTCACCAAAACCAGCATTGCGCAGTTTAATCTGGTGTATGTTTTCTTTGCATATGTGCTTGAAAATTAAACACTTCATTTTTGGCAAAGTTTCTTAAATAACTTGTGATTAACTGGTTGAGCCTTCATGGGATTTATGATGATCTTACAGAAACGCATTTGGGATTAGGAAATACTGAAATATGCTGTTAGGGTGGTTAGGTGAAAATAAACGAGGAGGAGTTAGAGAGATGTTAAGTGCCAGGTATGAGGTAAGAGTATCAGATGTAAGTGGATTTTGGGTCGAAATAAATGTGTGAGAAGATGTTAAAGAAACTGTGCTGGGGTCCAGTACATTTACAAAAATTACCGTTGCTTTAAGTATTTTCCCATGCAGAAGAGCCAGGGAACTGATGCTGTGGAATTGAGGGTCCTCCAGTTGCTCTTGTCTTTACAGAAAGAGCAATGCTATTTTGTGCTCATAGGCAACAGCAAGGAACCTTCCAATAGCTAGAAAATAATGTATCTTTTCAGTACTTCTGAATTAATTGTGACTTCCAGTATTAACCCCTTTTGTTAAACTTTGAAGACATTTGTGTTTGAGACCGTCTGAAAGCTTTTGGGTCCAGGTAACTGAAAATGTAGTATGCAGAGCACCTCAGTGCTGGTCTACGTTTCCTTTTGAAACTATCTCTTCTCTTGCTTTTCAGTCCCGTTTAATCCAAACAAAATCCTCTTTTCTCTTTTCTGCTGTAATTATTTTTTTCATCTCTTGGCTTTCACCAAAGTCACGACCCAGTATCTTGGTGCACACACAGAAGAAAGGGTCTACCTATTCACATGTGTAGAACTTGGCAGGAAAAGGGGAGCTCTGTTTTGGGTGTGGGTGTTAGAAACAAAAGGCAGGATTGGCACTTCAGGTAGGAGAAACATTGGTCCAGGGCAGAAAAGCTTGAAGAGTTTTGTTTTGTGGGCTGTTTCATTACTGTAGTGCAGAAGAATTGGACTGATATGATTTGGCTATATAGAGTGAATATCATTCAGGCTGCTAACCTTGTTTTGTCTTTAGATATTCTACCCAGAAACTACAGATATCTATGATCGCAAGAACATGCCACGCTGTATCTATTGTATTCATGCACTCAGGTAAGGCATACCTTACCAGACAGAAAATCTGATTGCTTCTGAAATCTTTCTGCAAAGCTGAAAGGTGAGAGGAGAGAGAGCTGAACTGAAGGCTAGATGAGGGCAAATTTTCTAACAGAACAATGTTGCCAGGTGAGAGCAAAGATCCATGAAGCCAGTATTTTGTCTTGGGCAGTGGCTAAATGAGATGCCGAAGGAAAAAGAATCAGTCAAGTATGTTGTGACTTCTACCTTTCCATTCCAGTTCTCACCCTCTCACCCCTCTCAGTTAGAGCTAGACATTCTTTAACCAAGAAGACAGTGAGGCACTGGCGCAGGTTACCAGAGGAGCTGTGGCTGCCTTGTCCCTGAAAGTGTTCAAGGCCAGGTTGGATGGAGTTTGGAGCAACCTGGGATAGTGGAAGGTGTCCCTGCCCATGGCAGGGGGCTGGGTTGGAATTGGATGATCTCTAAGGTCCCTTGCAACCCAAGCCTTTATATGATTCTGTGATCATGCTGAGTTGGCGTGACAGGCAAAAGTAGAGGAGTTGCTTCACTTTTCTCAATCCCATCTGTACTTAGCTGTATGGATTCATCCCTTCTTTGTAACAGTTACGTTTCTTGTGAGGCCTAGGTGAATACATTAACCCCATTTTAATAAGCCAAATCAGTTTAGTGAATACTTCCCCCCTACTCGCTATTGATGAGACCACACCTGCAATCCTGTGTCCAGTTCTGGGCTCCCCAGCATAAGAGGGACAGGAGCATGCTGGAGAGAGTTGAAAGAAGGATCGCTTTCAGGAAAGGCTGGGAGAGTTGGGGCTATTCAGTGTAGATAACAGATGGGGCTGTGGCAATCTCAGTAATGTGTGCAGCTATCTGAAGGGAGGATGCAAAAATGTGAAGCCAGGCTCTTCTCGATGATGTCCCATGACATGACAAGAGGCAGCTGGTACAATCTGAACCACAGAGGAGTTCCTCTCAACATCAGGAAACACTTTGTTTACTATGAGGGTGACCAAGGAGGGGCACAAATTGCCCTGGAATGTTTGGGGGTCTCCACCGCTGGCAATACTCAAAAGCCATCTGGACATGATCCCGGGGAACTTGATCCAACGTGACCTGGTTTGAAAAGGGAGCTCAAACAAGACAAACTTGAGAGTGCCTTTCTGGCCTCAATCATTCTGTAATTCCCTGAAGACTTCAGAGCGGTGGGCCAGTTATGTTCAGCTGAGGGGGGAAGAGGGGAGTCAACTCACCCACTTGATGATTATCAGCTGTTACATTGGCTTACTTGTCCTTGAATCTGTTCTAAAATTGTATCATTGTCAGAACCACACAGAAAAATTACTAGTTCTAATTATTTGCTTATTTTCTTTTCTAGCCTGTACCTTTTCAAACTGGGTCTTGCCCCCCAGATTCAGGATTTATATGGCAAGGTAGACTTCACAGGTAAAAAAAACAAACAAAAAGCCCCCAACACTCCTGTGCTGCCTTTATCTCATACCCTACTAGATCAGTTGTTGAACTGATTGCTACTGTTGATACCCTAAATGCAAATTAAATTAAACATTAATGGCTATGAGGACTTCTTGTAATTTAGGAAGAAGGTTTGATTTGGATGCTTCTGAGCCAGGCAACTATAGCCATCAGTTCACTAATCACTACTTTTGCAAATAACGTCATAACTTTTTTTGTTGTAACAATGTCACTGTTGTAAGATGCTTAAGCCTTGCATCCATCCTCTTGGGAGTTTTCAGTTTTGAACTTGGGTAAACAGTTCTGACCTCCTGTGACAGTTTAAACTAGAGGTGCCATCAGCTGAAGAAGCATTTGCCAGCTGATCGGCTGCAGGAGATGCCAGCACAAAGTCTCATGTTCACATGCCTCTTCAAGGTTTCACTTCCTTAATTTTTGCAAAAGTGCCAAATTCTGTGTCTTGCATTAGTGATGTTCTTGCCTGAGGGCATGCATCAGATTTAAAAGGTATATAAACTTTATTTCCTAGCGTATCTTGGTACCCTCCGTTCACTTTTCTCAGTGTAGTCTCTCTGTGGGGAAAAAGAAAATCCTAAACTACTGCCTGTGCGTTTTCCTGCTGGCAACCACAGTTGAGATACCTCAGAATGGAGTCTGTTTCCAGCTCCTCATGAGAGTCTTGTGCTGTTTTCTAGTGAGAAAGACTACAGAATATTCCCATATGAGTCTCTGGGAAAAAATGTAGATTTTAGGAAAGTGTGCAAAGTGTCTTACTAGTTTTCATTTATTTGTTTCACTTACTGAATGATATTCAGAGTATTATTTAAATGGTAATTGCAGTCTATTGTAGTTATCTTAATTTTTTTTTAGCAGCAAATAGTATAGCAGTGCTAATGTATTTAAGCCTGTGTAACACTGTTTTAATGTATATTTCAGAGGAGGAAATCAGTAATATGAGACTTGAACTGGAGAAGTATGGTATTCAGATGCCTGCCTTCAGCAAGATTGGAGGAATTCTAGCAAATGAGCTTTCTGTGGATGAAGCAGCATGTAAGGAAAGAGTGTTTTCTTTGATTATTCAAATCAGCAGATCAATTAAGTGTTGGTTTTAATGCCCCCTGTTTTAAGTCTTGTACAGTCCTTTTGATAGGCCTTTTGGAAGACTGGGAAGATGTTTTTGTTCTTTCTCTTCTGTATTTTTTTTTCTTCTTTCTGGAACATGATTCAACTACTTAAAGTATCATAACTAGAAAGCAGGCTGCTTTCTGGTTTTTTTCCGGAACACAAAGCCATGATGAAATGAGAGGTACTTTGTTAATTCTTTTGCTTTCCAGTTAGTTTCCAGATAATTCTTCTGCTCTTTTCAAATAAGTTCTCGATTTTTAACAAAGCTGATTTGTTTGGTACTAACTGGCAGACTGTGCCTTGTTTTTCAGTACATGCTGCTGTCATTGCCATTAATGAAGCAATTGACCGTCAGGTTCCAGCTGACACTCTTATGGCAATGAAGAACCCTAATGCCATGCTAATAAATCTCGATGATCAACTGGAATCCACTTACCAAGACACACTCTACAGAGCAAAGCAAGACAAGATGGAGAATGCTAAAAATAGGGTAGCTCAGTTCTTCTTTCAAGCCGTCTATTTGCATGCATTGCTATTTTGTATTGCAGTGTAAAATGGGGGGAATTCACAGAATGTGTGTTACGGTCCTGTATGTATAGTGTTAGGTGGACTTACTCCTGGTGGTATTCTAGTATGTTCCCCAGTAACCTGTCTTCTTATTATAGGAGACAGGCAACAGTTGGCTGTGTTAGTTTGTTTAGCTGTCTGAAATATGGGCCGCATAGATACAGATTTCATTTAATCCTTTTTATGCTGGGGATGCATCCCTCTGTTTTCACACAGTATAGATGTGTTTTCCTGACAAAGAAATGAGCAAAATTGACTGATGCTCTTGGAAGTGAACCGTGTTGTTTTAGAACACTGTATAATGCAAGCCTAGCTCTGTATACTGCTTTCCATGTTCTGGAGCTCTACTGTGTGTTCATATAGAGGCATAACATTGAAATAAGGTGTTTCTGGCCTGTTTGTATCGGAGTTTGACTGTAGTTACTTTAGATGTGTTTACATATAGGGCTTTTTTTTGGAAGCGTAGAGGTAGCCTGTCTGTGACCTATCACAAGCTCTATATAGGTAAATTGTTTTCCTCCCTGACTTTTTCAATTAGAAGATCTGTGAGGGCAACGGGAGCTGTAGAAGCACTGATTAGTTTTTATTTCATCTTCAGATTGCCTCAGAAAGTTCAGATAGAGAGAGAGATGTGTATGAAGAACTTCTGACTCAAGCTGAGATTCAGGGAAACATCAATAAAGTGAACAGTAGGTATCACGTTAAAGTAATAGTCTTAATTAAAATAGTACTTCAAAACGATATCTGTGCTCCTCTTTTTCTGTAATGCTGACCAAATTTAAAGGCAGCTCCCCTGGTTTTGTGGGATACTTTGTTTTTTTTTTTGTTTGGTTGTGTGGTTGGTTTTGGTTTTGGTTTTTTTTGGGAGGGAGAGGGTTTGTTTTTACTCATTATTAGTACATAGTTGTAAGCTTAATTTACTCTGATTTCTGTTACCCTTCCTTTTGGAAATGGATTATCCATGTTGCTGGCCCCTCCAGTTCTTCATCTTGAATAATGCACACTATTTCCAACCATCAGACCGTTTTTCAAGTACTGCTTCGTAATTGACTCTAGAAGTCTTCCATTTGATACCTAGCTTGCTATCTTATCAGGTCTAAGGGTATTTCTTTCTGAGCAGTAGGTTACATAAACCACGGGACTTCCTCATTTCACGTTTCTCTCAAAACTCTTTTACTGTTGCTAGCACATGCAGCCTTATCAAAGATTGACCTAGCTTTGGAACGAGGAGATGCATTAGCACTGTATGAAGCTTTGGCAACACCAGCCCTGGCACTCCGAGGATTGCTACGAGAAAATTGTGACTGGTATTTCAAGCAGTTTTTGAGTGATAGGCAACAGAAACAGGAGGTATGGAAAAGTGTAGATTACCCTGATTCGTTAAGTTTTTGCCTGCCTCTGCCTTTCACTGTACCACTGTGTACTAATCGCTTGCTATATACCTGCATTGCAGTTTAGTGTTGGTTAGAAAAAATTAGTGCTGAGAGATGGAAGCATTCAGTAAGCATATCTGCCATTTAGGTTTTATGTCTGCATGTGAAAGGCCAATATAATGTTTGTATGTGTGTGTATATATAACTAAAATACTTTGACCAAACCTTAAAATACTAACTTGTGTGTGTATAAAACTGTTATAATTAAGGTGTGTCCTCCCTCATTTTACTATTGTCAGTGTCCAAATAATGTGGATATTTGTGTTTTGTAAACACCTATCAGATAAGCATAAGCTACTTTCACTGTGGAGAATATGACCATACACCACTTGTAGGCGTGGCGCTTAGGGACATGACTTAGTGGTGGACTTGGCAGTGTTAGGTGTACAGTTGGACTCAATGATTTTAGGGGTCTTTTCCAACCTAAATGATTTTATGATTCTGCCCAAGTTATTCAAGCCCTCTTGCTCCCTGGTGACTCCGTCTCACGTTCTTTTTGTACTTGTGTGGTACCATATAATCCAAGAAGCATGTATGTATAAGCCAAAGCTGCGTGTTGTCCATTTTGATGTCTTGCTAACTCTTTAGTTGCTCAGAGGTAAAACACAACATTAGTTAACAGGTCTCTTCATGGCAAACTACACAAATTTCACATCAGCATGCAGCTCATGTATGGGGAGTCTTTTCCCACAAAATTATGACCTTTGTTTTAAATATTTTATAATTTTGGAAGCCGGGTCTTGCTTTTAATTGTTATGTTCATGAGACTGCACTTCTAATATAAGAGGGGTCAGGGTGTACACATATGATCTTTCAGCATCTTAATTGAGAATCTGGAGAGTAATTTCTGGCTTCCTAACATATGTGGCATTCTTTGTTTGCAGAAGCTATATTGCATTAGAATATTTTAAGTTAAAGCAGAGTATTTTTATTGAGGTATTTGAAGTGAATAAGGTGACATCATTTCAACCTCATGGTTTATATTTCTTTTTTCTTTAGGCTGGCCTTACAGGTCCTCTGCAGAAGGAAGAGTTGCAGTTGGGAGTGGATGCTGCTAACAGGGCAGCACAACAGTACCAGCAAAGTGAGGATCAGCAGGAATTATAGCAGCAAAGTGACCATGGGTGTGATCAAAAGAATGAGACAGCACAGTATTTGGGTCTATTATGAGTGGTCAATACAAATGTTCTTTAAGTACTTTACAGCTGCTAAGAACATTAGAGAGATGGCTGCCCTAATGATTTGTAGTATCTTTTATCCAGCTGTTACAATGTGGCTGGAGATAACAGCATATAATTTGAAATATAGGAAACATGGAATTTTTGCTTCCACCTTAAATAACCACTTTTTAGAGAATGCTTGCATGAATTTTTGTGCTGCGGATCAGTGAAGAAAATCTGGATTGCTCCAAGAGGTGTGAAAGCTAGATTATGTGCTGACCATTCACATAAATCTTCCTTGATTTGAGCTGCAGAACCTTCAACTTGTTTCTGAATATCAGGATGCAAAGAAAATGCAGATCGTGATGGCTGACTTATTTTTGATTGATGCTTCTGGGACCATGCAGCACTCTGGCTGTGCAGGAGCAATTCAATGTGTGATAGGTAGAAAGGACTCTACTAGAGATTTGAGGAGAGAGGGTTTAGAATACAAGGGGAAAATAGTGAATGCTGAATTAAGTAGCTGGCTGCCTTTGAAGTACCTTACTTGTTCAGCATGGAGGTCTGTGTTTGTTTACCTACTGTGCCATTTGAAGTTAGACAGGGTGTACCCACTATGGAGTGCCTCTTACTGCCTTGATCAGGGTAGATGTGAACAGGAAGAGAAAGTTGGTACTATTCACCCATCCAAAAATCTGCAATGGGGCTTCTTACTATCGCAGTACTGAAATGGTAAAACAGTCCTTTGATAACCAGACAAAAAGGTGAACAAGTGTTAAACGTGAGCGTTGTGTATTTAATTGTCTTCAGTAACAGAAGACTAACCGGGGATTAATGGATCAGAAAGCTTGACTCTTTCTCCACAGTTAGGGGTATTATTCTTTTTCTAGTTAAGTATCTTAGTAGGATGAAAATGCTGTTACTGTGGGGGTCTGAACTGTCTCCCTGCCTTATTCTGTATGCTCTTTGAACTTCTAGAACTGGCAGCAGTAGCCAGAATTAATTCAGCAATTCGAATGGGTGATGCTGAGAAGACTGTGGCAGAAATGATGAATCCAGAGGCCCAGTTACCAGAGGTCTATGCATTTGCTGCAGATCTTTACCAAAGGGAGCTGGCTACCTTACAGCAACAGAGCCCTGAAGTAAGTATCACCTTCTCTTTATTTCTGGAAGTTGGCATGGGTCACCGGGTGTACCTTGTCTGTTCTGTTAAATGCATTCTCTGGAACAAACTTGTCTTGAGTCTTCATGGAACTGCTTTGGTGTTCAGTCTGTTCTGATGTGGCTTAATCCCTAAATCTTGAGTTACTTGGCCCTGTAAGGTTCTGCTTTAATCTCTTACTTGGTGTTCTAGCTTTGTTTACGATACTCACCTTTCTGCTTCATTGTCATAAAAGGTTGTCCCTTTGCTTTGTAACATGTCTGTTTTGACAGCTACTCTGTTGTTTTCTATTTGCGGCAATAGTTTGTATAGGGCACAGAGAATTAATTTGCTGTCCTCTTTGTATGCAGGGTAACCTCACCCATCCAGAACTGTCTGTTGCTGTTGAGATGCTGTCTTCTGTGGCCCTGATTAATAGAGCTTTGGATTCAAGGGATGTGAATACAGTGTGGAAACAACTGAGCAGTCCTGTCACAGGGCTTACAAACATTGAGGATGAGAACTCACAGAGGTGGATATTTCAAGGAATCATATCTGTTCTTGATGTTGCTTATATTCTGTGACTTCATGAATTTTTTTTTCTCTTCTCTTAACATTTTACGTTGTTTCTACATTATTTATTACAGTATTGATTTAATCTCTTGTCTCCTGCATCTTGTTTTTGCAGTTACTGTTTCTTACTGGTCTGAGTTCTGTGCTGTCACTCAATGCTTTCTCATGGATTTCACATGAAAGCCCCATTGTGATACCATTAGGTTGTCACTAATTCTTACGCCAGCCCACTCACTATTTTCTTTGCCCTGGACTGTTATTCAGTGTTTTAGTGCTTTTCTCTGTTTGGCAATTTTGTTTGTTTGAACCTACTTCACATTTGGGCTGAGCATCCTGCACACAGCCTTTCCTCTTTCTCCCCCTTTTCATATTTGTTCTAGTTTCAACCCTCATGTTACCTCTCCCACTTTGTGTACCAATTCTCATGCTGTGTCGTGTGTTCCCTGGCCAGCTTGTTGTGATGTGATGTTTATTGGGTTTGGGTTTTGTTTTTTGACAGATACATCGATGATTTGATGAAGCTGAAGGCTCAAACAAATGCAAAAGGAAATGAATTTATCACGTGGAATGATATCCAGTCATGTGTTGATCATGTGAACAAAGTTGTGCATGAAGAACACGAAAGTAAGTTTTTCTGCTCAATTCATGCTAGACTGATCCTAGCTTATAAGGAGTGCTAAAATTAGGTGCATCTCAATACAAAAAGTTATTGATTGACTTACAGTTATGTCATATGTTAGATGTCTAGAAAGGTCTCTTATTTCCGAACAAGACTTGGTGGTCTGTAATACAAAAGTCTTGATTGCAGGACTGCAGGCAATCAGGAATGTTTGTGGTATTGAAGTCAATATCTCAAAACTGTTTATTAGTCCTTCCAGTGTAAATTTCAACCCTTTTTTGGATTGAAAATGCGTTTTCTGATGTCAGTGTCTAGGATTTGTCTAGAATCTTCTAATTTTGTTTCAGTCCCCCAAATTTAGTGAAAGCTAGTGTTACCAAAATCTCTCAGTTAGTTGTAGCCCATGCTACAACTCGGAGTGCTCAATCCTCCTTCCTAATTTGCTGCGTTCAGTAGAAGATATTTTTCTTGAAGTCTTATTCTCTCTTTGACTGCAACTTTGCCCTGTTCAGATTTTCCTCTTCTTCCTTTTATTCCTTCTTTTGAATGTGCTTTGGCCTTTTTACCTTCGCAGTATTTAGTGGAAGTTCCACAGCCTCAGTCCAAGATCCTCTACTCTTTATCTGTGGCTAATTTGACCTGCATATGCAAGATAAGCTATTCACCTTTTGTCGATTGTCGATGACTTTCAGGTCTGTAATGATACTAGATGCATTTCTATAGTGGACGAGGAGCTTGAGTGAACAACAGAAAGATGAGTTTATTTCCAGGTCTTATTCTCAGTCCTTTAACTCCTGGCTGTATTAACACTACTTCCAAATTACAGCTTCTTTGAACATCAGTATTACAAATACTGCACCAAATAAACAAGTTTTTTCAGTTACTTATATTCAGTGATAAATCAACAGATACCCAAGAAAGTTTATTCTGAAATGCTTTCTGTTCCACAACTACTTATTGTTTTTGCTTAAAACATTTGATACAACTTTTTCAAAGAACATATTATCAGTTTGGTGCCATTCAAATTCTAAGTTCCAGATACTGGGACCTAAATCTCAAGTTAGGGTTGTAATGGGAAATACTGATCTTTTAATAGGTTCGTTACTTTGTTTACTGTTAGTTCCATCAGAACTGTTATAATACTGGTTTTCCATCAGAAGCTGTTATAATACTGGTTTTAACACTATGTATGCCTTCTTGCTGTTAAAACCAGTATTATAAAAGCTGAAATGACTGCTAGCTGACATTCTGACTGGTAAGAGAAGAGTATGCTTGCACAGTTGTTGCCTTTTGATATGAAATATTGGTAAAGTGCAAAAGAAAATCCCCTACTGGAAGATGTGCAAAATCCCTCAGAAGTTACAAGCGTCCAACACAGCTCACTGGTGAGACTCTAGCTCTCTGGGTGTGGGGAGCATTTGAGCTCTCACCAGGAGCATGCTGCCAGAGTTAATCTTTCAGACGTACCGTGTGTGTCGTGCACTGCAATTCGCACTGCCCAGTACTCCATTGCAGGGCTTATTGACCAGAGCATGGACACCTGTTTCTTTGTATTTATGTAAAAGGTGTGATCCAGGAATCACCACTAATGCATTGCGCTCACAGGCATTTGGTCAGTCGCCCTATATTGAAGAGAACAGGAAGAGGTGTAGTGTATACATACATGTACAGTGCCAGGCTGGATGGGGCTTGGAGCAACCTAGTCTAGCAGAACGTGTCCCTGCCCATGGCAGAAGAGCTTGGAACTAGATAATCTCTAATGTCTGTTCTATGCAGCAAGTCCGAGTAGCAAAACTTAAGTACTCATGAAGGAAAGAAATTACTGATGCAAGCTGAAAATTGTGAATGTTAACCTAACTTCTATGCCTCTAGCCCTACATTTTTTAAATTTCTATTTTTCAGTAGTATTTATGTTAATAAATGTCTTTTAGCAGTGATAAAAGACTGGAACTTAGCGTAATTATGAACATTTCAGCAAAACAGAAAATATGAGTAATTCTTTTTTTTCTAATGCAGTATTAGTTGATTTAAAATCCAGAGCAGAGATAAAGGAGTCCTTGAAAATAGCAGACTTAAACAATTCTTAGGTAGATTCTTCTGAGGTTCTGTTTCAGATGGTTTTAATTTTCTATTTTTTTTTTCTCAGTTTCATTGAGGGATCTTAACTTTTGTTGATGACCAGTACTGAAAACCTCTTGGGTATCACTTGTTTTCAAGCCATCTGTGTAATATTTAGCTCAAAGCCTTGCATCGTAAGGCAGGAGAGATTTGTCACAAGTGTGGAGGTGATGCTAAAGTTTATGTTTTGCACTGAGACAAGCAGGTGTCTTCTGCCACTCCTTGTTGTATGCTTGGTGACTTGTGTTTCACCTTGGAAAGCTTATACTCTAGAGAGGGTTAAATTTTAAATTAAAAGCCTCCTGTCTTGGTTAACTTGTTTCCTGCTTCTCCAAATAGACACTAGGTTTCCTGTTTCGGTCACATGAGCAGATTTGTTAAAACCACACAAACAGGGACCCACACTGTGAATGCACACACCGGTGCTGTGTTCATAGTATGTAAGAGATCACGGTGCAGTTCTAATAGTTTATGCAGTCCCAACATCCTGTTCCTTTTAACACTCCTTATGCTGTAAAGAAAGTGCAGAAAATCCTGTAATGAGATAAATTTTTCTTCTGGGCAATTTCTTAATTCCTTGGCCTGTTTCATATATGCCCTTATGCAAAGATACTTTTTATCCCCTCTCTATGAATAAGTTAAATTAGTCTGAGAAGGTCCTTAAGATATATGACCATATATATTTTTCATTTCCACTATGCTTGTAAATAGTGTCAAATTAAAAAATGCTTTCCAGTGAAGAGCTGTAACATATTGCTCTTCCATGGAATATGCCATGTCCACATTAGCAAACTAATCAAAGAGATTTACTACTGAGGTTCTGTGCCCTTTCCTAAGTTATCATATCTGTTTTTTGGTAGGAACCATGCTATCATTTTAGCGATACGGTTCTTGCGATGTCCTCAACATGTATTTTTCTCTGATCTCTACTCCGTCCAGATGTAATCATTTTCCTAAGATGTTCTAGTTTTTGCATAATCTTCTGTTTTGTGAGTCTTTCTTTCGCAGAAGAATCACAAATCTTTGAATACAATAACCGAAGCTGGAAATCCTCACACTGAGTCCTTTCTTTTTTCTAAAAGATCTCTCTGTTCTGAGATCAAACCATGATTGGATCCTTCTTTAAGCAGGGAATTGAACTAGATAAATCTAGGATCCATCTCAACCTGAGTTATTTTGTGGTTTGCAGGAGATTGTTGCTGTAGATAGGACATGTATGATGTACTGTTTGCATTTAGCTAACTGTAAGATGCATCTACATCTCTGATGATACAGCTAATACTACATACATCCTTAATAAAAGAGTTTTCTAAAATATGAAGTTATCGTATTTTTAAATTATATTCCATGCAAATCTTTAACTTCCTGTGAAAATTTCTTTCTGGATAAGCCAGAACCTTGGAATATTGTAAACTCTGGCCATTTGGGCTTTGATAATTCTCTTCAGTGGCTCGGAACTGTGTGTCTGAGGACTCAATTTTGTCCCTGCCTGTGGTCTCCCTGAGTGATTTTTTTCTTTTTAACTTTATTTTTTTAATTACCATGCCCAGGAATTATGACTAATTTAAGGTGGAGAAATAGTCTTGCTTTCTTTACTAGTAAATAATGTTTTCTGTTAAAAATATTGCGGTTCTTGGCTGATACTTGGTTTAGGAAGGACTAACTGCACTTTTCTTCTGAAGCAATTGTTGTTGACCGAAAATGGAACTTTGTCTTTCTCTCCCTATGCCTTCCTCCCTAGGGATTTTGGCAATTGGTCTTATCAATGAAGCTCTGGATGAAGGGGACAGCAAGAAGACTATTCGAGCCTTACAGATTCCTGCAGCAAAATTGGAGGGTGTAGCCCCAAAGGTAGCACAGCATTATCAGGATACGCTACTTCGAGCCAAGCGAGAGAAAGCACAGGTGAGTGTAGTTAAATGGACCTCTTGAAAGACCTTTACATATGTGTAATGAAATTCTTACTGGTCTTGAAAATCAGGAATCAAAACTGGCAGTGGAGAGATGGGCATTCTGCATACCTTCAGCTGATCTTACCTGGTCAGTTTGGATCTTTCTGTATTAGAGAAAGAGATTTGCAGCTAACAGTATGAATCTTCATGAACTCTGGAGATAGGTGTAAGGATATTAAGTGCATGTGGTGGCTTATTACAGCTAATCCTGGGTCCTCAGCGAGATATGTGTTTTGTTTGCGGAAAAATAGTATCATCTGTTTCTGAAAGGAGACCATGTTCATTCCAGGAGTACTGAACTTCTGAATGCAAGTTTCCTGCAAGCTGAAGTATTTTTTTCTAATGTTCTTTATTAAATGTCATAGGCATAGTTATATATGGCAAAAAGAAAGTTTCTGAAAGTGGAAAAATCTGTTAAGTGATAAATTAGAAAAAACACGTGAAGCAACATACATGCTACTAGCAAAATGTATGCTGATGCCTGTGACACTTTAATAGCTTATGACTTTTTTGAGCAGTAGTTGTCATTAACCAAGGACTTCTACCTGCTTGTACATAGTTGCAGCTTTTACTAAATGAAAGGTGAAGATGGAGAGAGGAAGAGCAAGTTTCATCTTACAGGTTTAAGAAAGGTGATGAGGAGTGTGCCTGTGTGTACTCAACTAATTTTTGAGTAGTAGGGATAGGACACTGAGTTTTTTTTCTCCTCTATTTACAAAGAAGTAGCAGACGTCTGTGGTTTCAGTGGCTTGAGAGTGTTTAGTTTTCTTTTTTCTGCTGTGGACCTCTTTGCTCTAGTAGCAATGCACGCTTTTGTATAGAGACTAAGATCTGGATTGTCCTGAACACTTTTTGTTTGTTTGTTTTTGACTACAGGTAAACCCACGTGATGGCAATAGCTGAAAACTGTATGCATTTCTAATGAAAATCATTAAGCAGCTTTCCCAAGGACCCTGACAGGGTTAATGTTTCTCAGGAACCCATTTTGTGCTGAAGCATTTCCTCCCGCTGAGTCAGAATAAAATAATGAACTCTTTTTAGTGTGTGCTTAAACTTGTGCCAGGGTGTGCTGGTAACTTCTCAGTTGGCCTGAAATTACCTTATTTAGACATAAAACGAGTAAAGAGCTTGTCCCAGCAGCATGGCAGAAATTTCCGAAATAGAAAGATCATATTATAAAGTAACAATGTGGGGAAAATAATTATCATCTGAAGTCAACTGTTATGAACTAGTGATTCCTATACCTTGGGGCTGAGAGGGATTGTACTTTACCTCAAGACATTGTTCAGTTGTTTACATGAATGGGGAGTGCTGTATGATACATGTTTCTTTTGTGATGAGGAGAGAGAGAAAAAAAGCAGTAGACCTTGTAGTATGTTACACTCTGTGTACCTTGCAGAAAGCCTTGCAAGAGTAAAACTGTAGACAAGCACCGGATGGTTTTGGTAGTGTTTGGGTTGACTTCTGCTGGTACACAGTACAGTACAGTTGCAGTGATTATTCTCCCCCACTCCCTGGACAGGACTTTTGCTATTGCTGATACTCTTGTGGGAATATCTGGCTTTCAGATGAAATCTGCCTGTGAAAGTCATGTTAAGCTCTTGAATGAAGTATCATTTAAACAAGTTAGTTTCAAACTTGCCAGAACAGTGGGAAAAATATGGAGGGCATGTAAGGGAATGTTCATTTTCAGTCCGACCTTAAAGCTCTTGAACATTGTAAGTAGTGGTTCTTTTGTGCAGAGTGATTATTATTCCGCACCAGAACTAAATGTTTCCTGTGTTCTGTTTGTACGAGGAGAGCTATCAGAGGGGTGGCAGTTGCATCTTACATTTCTTTCAGTAGTTACCTACAGGAAACACCAGTGGGTGGAGAAAAGCTTATGCTTGGCAACTGCTAGGTCATTGTTCTTTATATATATTTTGAGACTTGCTAAACACTTGTCTCTTTCCTCTTCTCAAATTTCTTCATGTAACATGAGCTCATTGGATTTCCCAGCCAAAATACAGGATACTGTGTGATCACTGCTCCTTGACAAGCAATCTGTTAAAATAAAGACTTAAAACATGGCTTTGACTGCTGTGTGTGTCCACCCACCTTACGACACATGCAATGCTTTTTTGCTCTGCTAGTTTGTACAATCTTGTGAACTTTTGTGGGCAGGGGCAAGAGCAGCCTGATATGACATTACTTACCCAAAAAGTTTTTAGTTTCTGCACACAGATGCGCGTTGGCAGCTCTGTGTAGTCGTGTTCTGTTGAAGGACGAACTTCTTGGGAAGTCATGTCCTCCTAGCTAGGTATGGCTTTAGGACTGACCAGTACCGAGTCCCTGGCCTTGTGTTCTCTCTGCTTATCAGAGTGATTCCATTGATAGAATTTCTTCTTCGTTCTATTTCCTGAAAAGAGTTTTTGACTGGGAGCAAGTATTGAGTTTGGTAATGCCATAGTAGTCTGCTAGTCACAGAGATATCCTGTGATACGAAATGTGCATGATATCCTTGTATTGGAAGACTGAAATACTTCTTATTCCCTCTGATATGGGTAACTACTCTATTGGCTATTGTTGAGCATGGAGTATTTTACTTTGCAAAAATAGTGATACTTCTCTCCCCACACTGTGTATATTTTTCTTGTTCTATTCTCTTCAGGACACACAGGATGAAACAGCTGTACTTTGGCTAGATGAAATTCAGGATGGGATTCATAAGGCTAACAAGGACACAGAGGAGTCCGAGAGATGTAAGTATTATCACACACTATTGTTACTTTGTGTATTGAGAAATTCTGATGGTAAATCAGCACCATACTGGGATTTGGGGCACACAAATTACATGCTTTCAAGTGCAGTACCACATATGGTTGGACACTCTGTACTGAAGAGGCCTCTATACTGCAAGTTGTCTGATTGCTTTTTATTTATATTTTGTATTTATATAGACTTATTGGTGTAGCACACAAACACCCCAACTATAAGAGTGTGTTCACATTGCCTTACTCTGTTCTGCCAGTGTGTGTTTGCTGTGAGTCACTGAGCCCGTGAATGCCAAGCTAACCTGCTTCCTGGTGTTATCCAAGTCTCCTTAGGAATTCTGGCCATTAATGAAGCAGTAGATCATGGTGATGTTAGCCAGACCCTGAGTACCTTGCGTTCACCTGATGTGGGACTATATGGAGTCACTCCAGAATGTGCTCAGACGTACCAGCGAGAGCTGTCAGAAGTCAAGAGAAGAAAAATGGCAGCAGGTACACCTTCAGTAGCCTACTGTTAGTGAAATAAATTCAAGATTATTGTATGCAGAATTGGAACTGGAGGTAAAAAAGCCCCTGGGAAGAAGTCTTGTGTTATAGGTGGCAATTGTGGATGCTTTGTGAACTAAATTTTTTTTTTTCCAAAAAAGTGTGTGAATAGACAGTATAATGTTCTCCACTTGTAGAATGTGTTGTGTTTAGGTAGTTCTCATATGAGGTCATTAGGGACTTGGAAACATCACTTCTTTTGCTTGGAGAAAGAAGCATCTGTAATGTGGATTTCCTAGTTGTAACGTTTATATGCATGAGAGGTAAGACACTTGTCTAGTTTTGAGACTGACACTGCAGTTTCTGCTCTTAGGAGGCAATGGCAGTGAATGGGTGAAACACTGGGTGAGAGGAGGCTATCATTATTATCATAACCTGCGGACCAAAGAGGGAGGATGGGATGAACCAGCAGAATTTGTGCAAAATGACACACAGCTGTCACGGGAGGAAATACAGGTAGGGTAGATAACAAATGCCCTTTCTCTGAAAAGTTGACATTCTTATCATTCCCACCCTTAATACAGCTCTGAGATAGAGTGTTTCAATGCCATAGTCACGTTAACAGGCTTAGTAACTCATTTGATTTGCTAGGCATCGTCAGATTGTGCGTTCAGAACTTCTTGTCCCATTTCAGAAAAATTTATCCTGTCACTAAAAGAGTACAGTGTCACTGTTTTTTTGAAAGACAGCTTTGAAGTTTCTTGTAAGCACAAAGTGGAAAGCTCATGTAACATCTTTCTTTTTGTATCTCCGTTTTCTTTTTCTAACTCTTCTTCCTATCATAACATGAATTCAGAGCACTATATCTGGAGTCACTGCAGCATACAACCGAGAGCAGTTGTGGCTGGCCAATGAGAACCTGATTATGAAACTTCAGGCTTGCTGTCGAGGGTATCTTGTTCGCCAGGAATTCAACTCAAGAATGAATTTTTTGAAGAAACAAGTCCCAGCAATCACTTGCATTCAGGTAATGATATCCTTTAATTATGTTTGAAACTTGTTCTCTGCACACAATTGTCTTTGCCTCATTTTGTAAATTATCTAAAGACATTTCCTTTGCCAGTGAGCTTTGGTATATTATTTGCTTTTACGTGTCATGTATAGTCAGTAAAATCTTCTCACACAGGATTAGAGAGAGAAAAACTTATTTGAGGAAGCTTTACCTATTATTTTTTTAACAAGTTTCAGTGTTTTTGAAATAGGGCAATATGAAGTGTATTGCATGTCTTGATAGTGATAATACTATGAGATGCATTGCTGTTGTGATTCGTCATGAATTCAAGAGAAACAGTGGTTTTCAGTATTCAGTAAGATTGTTCTCTTCAAATTTGTCCAGGGATTTGGAGGACTGAGGACCTGAAAGATGTAATGGGATAATTCCATATGAGATTGGGCTCATTTACAGGACAGCAACAAAAACACCCTTTCTGTGCTGTTGTAACTGAAACGCATGCAGATGAAATAGTTGCTTTGCACCCTATTACCATTTTATTATTTGAGCAGTGTATGTTTGTTTCTGCCTAAGTAACACATCCTCTGCCTGTATGTTTAACAAAACCTCCAAACCCACTCCTAGCTCATTAAAATAACACTGTCCCTTTAAGTGTAGTCCAACCCTTTGCCTAACTTCTCTTCCAAGTGTGGATAGCAGGGATCTGCTCTGAAGGCTTAAAATGTTACATCCCTGTCCTCACAGGCAGCAGCATGTAACACGTGATCCTCTTGTAGAACAGTTTCTGTCAAATTGACTGTTTTGTTATATCCTTGATCCCCTAACTGTGTTTCAGAAGGCCCAGAATCTTCATGGGGTAATTTCAAGTCTCTCATGATTGCAGTTGGGAAAATAGTTAAATGCCTCACAGAATGTATGTCTTGATAAGACAAGCATGTCTCCCTCATGTTTTATTTAACCAAAAGGGAAGTCAGAAGCTGAGGAACAGAAAGAAACTCAGATTTGTAACTACTTCTTCTTAATTAGAAAAGTAAAGTGAGCATGCCTGTTTTGTTTTCAGTCTCAGTGGCGCGGCTACAAGCAAAGGAAGGCATATCAAAGCCGTTTGGATTACCTGCGAGCACAAAAGGACCAAGTAGTAAAGGTAGTGCGGGGACCCTGCTGACTTTTTTGGTAAACCTTTTGGGTAGTGAACTTAGTAAGAAAAGTTTCTGAATGTTTTGGTTACCCTTGAATAGATTCAATCAATGACCAGGATGTATCAAGCCAGAAGACGTTACAGAGATCGTCTGCAGTATTTCAGAAACCATGTAAGAGGCTATCTTGTTAAATGTATTCTGCACCTGACTTTTGTACTCTTTCCAGAATGATGTCAAGTGCTTTTTTTGTTTTTTAAATCCTAGATAAATGATGTTGTAAAAATCCAGGCCTTCATCCGAGCGAACAAAGCACGAGAAGACTACAAAACCCTCAGTAAGTATTGCCAAGAGGATAAAACTGATGTGCCTCGAATCTCTGTTTGCGAAGGATCATAGAATCATAAAAGATGTTCCTCAGCTTTCTCAGCCTGTCTCCATAGGAGAGATGCTCTAGCTCTCTGATCATCTTTGTAGCCCTCCTCCGGACTCGCTCCAGCAGCTCCACATCCTTCTTACGTTGAGGGCCTCAGAGCTGAACACAGTGTTCCAGGTGGGGTCTCGCGAGGGCGGAGTAGAGGGAGAGAATCACCTGCCTTGACTTGTTGGCCGTGCTGCTTTTGATGCAGCCCAGGATGCAGTTGGCTTTCTAGGCTGCAAGTGCACATTGCTGGGTCACGTCAAACTTCTCGTCAACTAACATGATGTTGGTTGTGTGATCTATAACATCAAGACAGTTTTGAGGAGTGATTGGGATGAACCTTTGGTAGGGCAGTGCAGAAAGTAGGTAGTTCTTGAGGCTGAAGGAAAACTTGATTCTAGCTGTTGCTTTTTCTGCTGTTATCTAGAAGTATAGGTTTGCAGTTAGCTTTGACAGTGTGGACTTAGCCTGTGCTGATACTGACTTTGTTCTTTGCTTCTCTTATGATTTTCTTAAACAAGAAATGAAGAAATGTCAGAAGCTGTTTAGACTTACTGGTACTAATTTAGTTCTGGATGCTCCTTGATGTGCTGTTAAAACATAGATAAGGCATATATTTACTTCTGTTTGCCATCCCTTGATGTTTCTTTTTTCTTGCCTGGTTTTAGTTAATGCTGAAAACCCACCTATGACTGTTGTTCGGAAATTTGTCCATTTGCTCGATCAGAGTGACCAAGATTTTCAGGAGGAGCTTGAGCTAATGAAACTGCGTGAGGAAGTTGTAACCTTGATCCGATCCAATCAGCAATTGGAAAATGACCTCAATCTCATGGACATCAAAATTGGGCTGCTAGTGAAAAACAAAATTACATTGCAGGTGAGAAATGTGCTTATGGGAGACCAGCTACAGATTGAATTGAGCCCAGTGGTAGTTAGCATGGAGAGCTTCTGGCTGCAGATGTCAGTTGCTCAAACCCAGTAGAAAACATTGCCCCAGACTTGCGGTTTTTACTCCCAATACATTCTTAGTCCATTCCACTAATTTAGTATGCATCCCTAGAAAAAAAACTGTAGGAGGAGAAGAAACAAGACCTGAAGCTAAAAAAGGCAAACACCAGACTTTCTTGATCTAATAAATGCAACAGATTTTGTGTTTGAACACTTTGATAACTCTTTTTTGTTGCTCCTTTGTGGTTAAACAAGTCACATGCCACAAGCTTGCAGCAAGGGGGGGTGACTTTGGAGGCAGGAGACATGCTTGTGCCACTTGGTTGATTGTTGGTCAAAGAAACCCCCCCTCTATCACTTGGCACCAAAAAACCAAAAAAGACTCTTGTTGATACAACATTGCCTCTTCTTCAAGCTGAAGTTCTGGTCAGCTTTTTGTGTGGTCCTGGGTTTCGTTACTGTAGGCTTCTCCCTATGCAAAATCTCCATTGGTGTACCAAAATTTATCTTGGAAGGAAGCTGCAGCGCTTGACTGATGCTTGCAGTGAAAAATGCCATTGCTGTCTGAGTATGTAGAGGCAGTGAACCAACTAAGTATGGAACAGGGGGTTTAAGTTGTAAGCCCAGAGAAACTGCTGCCTTAGCAAATAATGCTTCACTTTAATAGCCCCAGGCATACCTTGACCCTGCCTTTCTACATCCAAGAGAAGTGGACTCTCAGATGCAACTGTTTTCCAATATTGCCTGTTAGAAACTTCTTAGAGTGGAATCTATACCTGTTCTTTCTTTCCAGGATGTTGTTTCTCACAGCAAAAAACTTACCAAGAAGAACAAGGAACAGCTCTCTGACATGATGATGCTGAACAAACAAAGAGGAGGTTTGAAAGCATTGAGCAAAGAGAAGAGAGAAAAGCTGGAAGCCTATCAGCATCTGTTCTACCTACTTCAGGTAAGAAACTTTGTACGCCGCTCAGTAACCTCTTGTCATAGAGGCTTATGTGTCTTAGCACAGTCTTTGCTTATGCACTGTAGTTTTCATAGAACCGTTAAGGTTGGAAAATAACCTTTAAGGTCATGAAGTCCAACTGGCAACTGTTTTGAACTACCTTAGTTTTCGGCAACACTGATGGGGACATGCACACTAAGTAATTTTTCTTGTTGTTGTAGACTAATCCAACCTACTTGGCCAAGCTGATTTTTCAGATGCCTCAAAACAAATCCACAAAGTTCATGGATTCTGTCATCTTCACGCTGTATAACTATGCATCCAATCAAAGAGAGGAATACCTGTTGTTGCGACTTTTCCAAACAGCACTGCAGGAAGAGATCAAGTATGTGGTAGCAATATAGCGCATTCTTGCTGTTGAATCAGTTTTGGCAATTTCTCAAATTGAGGCAATTTTCATGTTAAGTCTTGTGCTAATATGCAGATAATGCTAATCTGTCCCTTCACTGTCCTCTCCCCATTTCATATCTCTTAGTGTAGTCTATATCAGAAGAATCGAGTATGTCCATTGAGGATGAGGGCTTTTTACTTCAGTCAAGACTTCACTGCTCAACATGGCAGCTACTTTTGATCTGATGCAGTCATGCTAAAATTCAGTCTAATCTCAATTCTCCGGTGTCTGATTATAAACACCTCCAACAAACTGCAAACCCAGGCTTTACAAGCTAGGGAGAGAGCTAAATCCAAGCTTTTTGGGTTCCCAAAAGCTGATGAGGAGTCTGAAAACAAAACGCTTTATTATTTGGCATTTCTATTTCCTGTCACTGTTAGAAACTCAGGCTCTCTTCAGACATGTTTTGTTAGATTGGTTAGGCCTTAGGAGCTCGGTGTTATATGACTTCAGTTCTTTACAATGCAGAGCAGCATAACTTGCTGTGAGGAAGAATGCTCAATGAAATTTTTGAGGAACTACTCTTTAAGTATTTTTGGGAATGCTTTTAAAGCATGAAGATGGTATATACCCTGAAACAAATAACAACTTCTAAAGAAGATTTTTTTTTTGCCCTTAAATTCATGCTTGGAATAGTAGTCCAGGGAGATGTAGGCACTGACAGAGTTATGCATACCTCATATTTCACGTAGATTCTTTCTTCTTCAGATCAAAAGTAGACCAGATACATGAAATTGTGACTGGGAATCCTACTGTTATTAAGATGGTGGTAAGTTTCAACCGTGGTGCTCGCGGTCAGAATGCCTTGAGGCAGATCCTGGGACCGGTTGTGAAGGAAATAATTGATGACAAATCACTTAATATCAAAACTGATCCGGTGGATATTTACAAGTCGTGGGTTAACCAGATGGAGTCTCAAACTGGAGAGGCCAGGTATGGGACCTGCTAATACTGTATTTTTCTAAACATTGCTTAGCTGCTTTGCATTGCTTGGTTAATCATTCAAAACCATCCTTCGCTCCGTTTCATCCATCTATCCAACCGATACTGACTTTTGGTCTCCTCAAGACGGCTTTCATCCAAGGATTCTAAAGATCATACTGCGGTGATGGTGCTGTGACGGTATTGAAAGGGAATGTCATTAGGAGATGGAAGAAGAAATGCTCTTTGTTGTTCTCCTAAGTTGACTTGATAGTTAGCTATGAGATGCCCTCTAACCTAAAAGAATTCATGGTAAGAAAAGGTATTTGAGAATCTCTTCACGTCAGTCTGTGTTCATGTCGTATATATAGCCTTTGCAAACAGGTACTATTTTCAAGCCAACAAAACCTCTTTTGCTGGTAAAAAGCATGACATTGCAATTCTCTTAGTCCTGAAATCTTTCTAGTTAATATTGGCCATTGATGACAATTGCATTGTGCTACATGATTTTGTGTCATTTTGGTTTCTTTTTCTTCCAATGCTTGTGATTTGCTAGAACTGGAGGTTTCTATTGTGTTATTGGGGTTTTTTTAACATACTTAAAAAAAAAAAAGCCATACAGATGAGTGAGTTTCTCCACTTGAAGCATATCTGCAGTCATATATCTTCGTACTCTTTGTGCAAAATTCTGGACATGTTAAAAATGTAGGCGAAGGTGTGTGTTCAGATTCTTCTCTGTACATGAGATTTAGGATATGCTTTTATGAATTATCAGCTTTGTCCATCTGTGTTCACTGGAATTCTATGCAGTAGTTTCAACTGATTGAAAAAAATGTAACGATTAATTTGGTACAGTTTCCCACCAATCGCATGTTATATTGATTTTATGGATGCTGTTCTAGTTTCTGCTTGTGTCCAAGTTTTTATCATCTTAGTACTCAAATGTGTAGCTTTCTTTTTCACCTGTTTCAGCAGTCTGAAGTACCACTGTGTGTTACGGTTGGTGCTTTTTTTGCCTAGTGTGCGTGCTGTAAGAAAGATTCGCTTTTGAGTTAGCTGGGCCTTTTGTCGCAGTGACCATTGCAAGGGAAAGTAAAGGAAGTAAAAGGAAAAAATTTCGTTTCTCACAGTGCCTAAAAGGTTAATTAAAGGCAATGCACAGCTCTTGTCAGTGAATATAAACTTGTTTCTGTGTCAAGCTATAAATTCTTGAAACATGCTAGCCTGAGTAATAGTCACCTTTATATGTTTGACTTTTTCAAATAGCAAACTGCCCTACGATGTTACGTCTGAACAAGCACTAAGTCACGAAGAGGTGAGGATGCGCCTGGATGCCTCAATCAGAAATATGAGGACAGTGACAGACAAGTTCCTGTCTGCCATAGTTAGTTCAGTGGACAAAATCCCGTGAGTCTGATGTACCCACAGTATTATCCTTGAGTTGTTGGCGGGTTCCTGCTTGCAGCAGTCTGACTTGACCTGTTCTTTCTCTCAAAGTTATGGAATGCGTTTCATTGCTAAGGTCCTGAAAGACTCCCTGCACGAGAAGTTTCCTGATGCTGGCGAGGATGAGCTTCTGAAGGTGAGGATCTGAACACCCTTGTGAATAATTGTCATCCAAATTGGCTGTGGCAAGCGCATGCCATTCTTTTCTCTTCTTGGCTATATGTGTGGAGAGGAGTGCATGTAAACCTGTATAAAGCTCCTTTGTTTACTTCTACAGATAGAAAATATTTCACATCAGGATATTGATGTTAGCTTCATATACATCACTCGAGATATAGTACATTGTTTAGAAGGCGGTATCCTGTTGCTTTTGCTTTGCTTTAAACATCTTGGGCATTTGATCCTTTTGGTTTCTTGACTTGGGTTACTGTTGCTCCTAGAAAGTAAACCTTGGCTTTACTAGTATGATCACAGCCAGCTGCTCCTTCCTTAATGAGACAAGTCAAAAAGTCTATATGCAAAATTCTGATATTCCTAATTCCCCTCTCTGTAACGCTCCACGATAGTTTGACAGCAATATGTAGAGAGTCACTTCCCGTGATATCTAGTCAGTTTTGTATTTTGCATTTCAGTTAATTTTGAGAACTAAAAGGATCCTAATAGAAGGTGCTCTCAGATGAGTATAGCTTTGGGATTTTCATTGAAATTTCTTTGGTTTTATGACTTTTAGTAGTTGTGAAGGCCTTTGTGCCCATGAATGCTTTACTTTTTAATAAAACAAAGTTTGGTTCTTAGAATACTTGAAACGTCTCTTTAAACTTCTCTGCCTCTACTTCATTACAAAATAATTACCAATCTGAATGCTGTTTTCTTCTCTCTTCTAGTTCTGTGCTTTCCCATTTTGAGACATCGGTTCTTTCTATGCAGGTGAATTAATTTCTTCCATCTGTAAATTTAGGTGGAAAACTGCGGTTTTTGTTAATCCTCGTGGAAACAATGTAACTGTCCATATGAAAGTCAAAACTGCAGTTTTGTGCAATAACTACTTCTGGATTTTTTTTGGCAACCGAAGATACCCATGTGATATATTGTTCTTTTTGCCCTGCAAGTTGAAAGTTATTAATTCAGTTTCTTTCACAGATGTATTTTGTTATTACTAGTAGTAAACAGCTTTGACTGTTACCATCCCATGGCATAATCTGTGAGAGTACAGCGGAGGCTTGCATGAAACAGTTGTGAAAAACATGACCTCACTGAAAGCAGTTGTTAATTTCTGGGACTGCTTAGCAACAGCTGGATTTTTTTTCTCTGTGTTTTCAGCTGTTTGTTCAGACCCCAGTCTCTTCTGTGCATTTAAGTCACATGGCAAGCAGGTGAAGCCAAGATTCAGTGACCTTCTTCTGCAAATGAGCATGTGATGAGAGAACTATCGCTGTAAATCAGCATGTTGAGTTAATTCCTGTTTCATTGCTGGAATTACTTTTGGCTAAATATCAAATACAGGTTAGAATTACCTTTGTGAGCATATGGATAATGTGATAATCTTTATCTGCAGATCCTTGAAATTTATTGCTGCTCACATTTGACTAGGTAAATTGGATTTTTGAAGTGTCAAATGCCATTCATCTTCTGTACTTCTGAGTTCCTTATCTCTGGATAAAATGTTTTCTCGGTTACTCACTAACTGGGGGTCTGTCCCTGAATATGTTGCGGCTTATAGAAGAATTATTCTGAAAGAGAAAAGGGCTTTGGAGAATAAATGGAAAGTAATTTCCTCAGTTTAACTTCTTGGTCTGCCATTCTTCCTCAGCCTTTTTTCTTTGTCAGAGATGGCAGCCAATGCTGCACGCTCCTCTAAGTATTAGCTCTTGCTCCATATTGAAACTGCATTATCAGATTCCTCTATACTGTGATCGTTCTGCCCTCTGTTTGACTAACTCAATTACATTTAATTCTCCTGACAGACTGTCTCATGCTCTTATCAGTAGTCCATTGGTAACTTTTAATATCTCCTATCCATACATTTTTATAAGTTTAAGTTCTAAACCTTTACGCGTAGGAATATCTGCTGCTGTATTGTCCTGTGACTAGCAGTGCTCAGTCTTTCCTTTTTGTGTTGACCGTCCTATTGCATCTTAATGATATTTTTTTTTTACACTGTAGATTCTTTGGGATGGTATGTGTTTCTATACAGCAGCACAGCAGAACCTTTGTATGGGAAGGGTCTTCTGGCTTATGAGAAAATAATTTTATCAAAGCACAGATTAGTTTCACTAAAATCCAGTTGCGTCCTGTACTATTGTTTATTGATGCGTTTCTTCTCTACTCAACTTTTCCCAGATTGTTGGCAACTTACTCTATTATCGCTACATGAATCCAGCCATTGTCGCACCAGATGCATTTGACATCATTGACCTTTCAGCTGGAGGTCAGCTGACCACAGATCAACGTAGAAACCTTGGTTCCATTGCAAAGATGTTGCAGCATGCTGCATCCAATAAGATGTTCATGGGAGACAATGCTCATCTAAGCATCATTAATGAATACCTGTTGCAGTCATACCAGAAATTCAGGTATTAGACCTTAGCTAATTAAGTTGGGAAGTTTGGCAGAGGGTAACATTGGAAGTATTAAGGGAAAATTATAAATTTTGAATATAATAGATTCTATCTCTGTCAAATGTCTGTTGAAAATAAGAGATTTCACTGCCATAAGCATCATTGACAATGGCAGATAAAACATGTACCTGGAATTTATGAGCAATACATTGTATGTTAATGGGATTGCAAAGTCCAGTGTTTCGATTTAAGAGCTTCCAGAATAAAGGTTGCTTTTGCACTTACTTATTGTGGTACTTTGGACATGGGCAACCAGCATGGACATACATTCTTATGTCCCATGCGAACCCTGGTTCCACATTAAAATCTAGTGGTGCACTTATCTGTTCATGTAGTTGAAGTGATCTTTTGTTCAAGAGTTGTCATCTTATACCTCTCATGTTTTGGAAGAAAAGTAGCCAGAGGTTGCTAGGGGCAAGGGGTGATAATGCGGCGGGAGCACGAGGATGTGTGAACAAGGTGACTGAAGCTATAGACCAGCCCTGTCAATACGGAAAATGCCCAAATGTCAACATGGCCAATGTCAATAATTAAGTTTGCTAGGTTGGTTCTAATGTGTTAAACTAAAGGTGACCAACTGTAGTGGGTCCTAATGTGCCATAGTTTAAAGAGGAGAGACTATACTTGAGGTGGTCATGGGGAGTTAATGCTCTTGATACATCACGTCACGCTTAGTGTCATGCTGTTCTTCTCTCCTTTGTTTTGAAGACGTCTTTTTCAGGCTGCCTGTGAGGTTCCTGAATTGCAGGATAAGTTTAATATTGATGAATATTCTGACCTGGTGACTCTCACTAAACCGGTTATTTATATTTCTATTGGTGAAATCATCAATACACACACTGTAAGTATACATTAGTCACAAGTTGCTCTTTATAAGCAGTGCTTACAAAGAAAATACTACTTCTGGCTGAAGCACAAGGTTACTGAATACAAGGCTGAAAGTTGTCTTGATTTGATTGTAGTGGTGAGAGCTTGTTGATTTATCAATCAAATAATTTATTATGGCTTCACTACGTTTCTTTTGAAATCATTTAAGTGTGTGATATTGGCACAGCTTTGAATGTTAATGTTGATGCTTTGGAGTTTAGTGAAATAAGATTTTTTTTCTAAAAGATATTAGCCTAGAGTAATGAAATTTTACTGTCTAGAAAAGGATGTACTGTTAACAACATAATTGTTTTTCCTGTTCATCTAGTTGCTCTTAGACCATCAAGATGCAATTGCTCCTGAGCACAATGATCCGATTCACGAGCTTCTGGACGATCTCGGAGAGGTTCCTACAATTGAGTCCTTAATAGGTGGTCTAGTTTATTTTGCTTAAGAAATACATGTTATTACCTTAAATGACTTAAAGCGCAGTAAAGAAACTGTATAAGCAATCGTCACAGGTTGTTTGGGAGGACGCGCTCTAAAAATCAGCAGCAGATTTGTTGCAGCATATTCTCTCGGCAGAATTTTTGCCCTGAAAAAAACAGGGGTTCTTTCTCTTCTCCCCACCTCACCTTGATTACTACGTTGCAGCTATTTGAAGTTTGAAGTCTAGTAGGGAGGAGGGAGGCAAACAGGCATAGTTTTTGGAGAGGATGCTTTGACAGCAAACACTTACCTTGAAGTCGCTTGATGAATAAGGTTGGAACCTTTTAAAGGAGTGATTGCTAGCAAATTTTCTTCCAGGCACTGGCAAAGAACAGAACATAACAAGTGTTATCTGAGCAAACCTAGACCTTGGGTTTAGCTAGAGCTTGCCCTCCTTCCCCATTTAATTTCTCCTGTGTGCATTCTATCGCTGTGGTTAATATGTCAGAGTTTAATCTTTCTGCAGCCTTTTAAGAAACAGGGGGAAACTTCCTAATAACTCTTCTGGTGCAAGTTAGAGCAGGAAAATTTCTTTTTGACAGGATAGCTTACTTTGTTTAGTAGAAGATTACAAGCTTAGTTACCAACAACAGCTTTGCTCTTAGCTTGGAAGATTCATTCTAATGAGGACATGGACATAGGCGTGTCACCATATTTTTATTTCGAAAGGATTCTTGGCAGTTCAGCTACTCTTCTCAGTAACGTTCTTTCAGATTTGTTAAGAAAAGGTCTGTAACGTGTTCAAGATGATGTCTTAAAAAGTTAGTTTTGGCTTTTATAGTGTCCTTTTGATAGTACAGGAAGCAGTCTAGTTTTTCTCTAATCTGTAATATAGGGAAAAATTACAAAGCCCTAGCAGTCAAGAACGTAAAGAATGTGATTTAATCTATAAACTCTTTCTGCTTGACAGGGGAAGGGTCTGGCAATGTTAATGACCCCAGCAGGGAAATGCTAGCAAAGACTGAGGTTTCTCTCACACTCACTAACAAATTTGATGTTCCTGGTGATGAGAATGCAGAGGTGGATGCAAGAACAATTCTGTTGAAGTAAGTAAGGGTTAACTATCTGGTATGTTTCTCAAAGGAAGGAGGAACCAGAACTTTCACAGTTAATCTGCAGGTGAAAAGAAGATAAATGAGGCATAATTTAAACAAAAGTGGGACTGTTACTCCAAATACACCGAGCTTGTAGCCATATCCTTTTCAATGCTGTGGCACCACTTAATAGATGAAGACTAATGGCCTTTTTGAGAAATATAGATGTTATTAGTCTAATGGAAAGAGAGCAATGGACTGTCAGGGATTTAATAATTGCCAGACTCTTTATTCTGGAGAACTTTGTACTAATATTGACCCTTGGCAAATTTTAAACAAATCCCTATTGCTGAGATGTATAGAGCAGTGACCTGACATTCAGATGCATATTTACCCACTCTGATGCATTCCTGCTCAGATGCTAGATAGTTTAATTGAAAATTCTTCAGGTCAGCTTGCCCTTGACTTAGACAGAATAATGATCTCCCAGAAGAAAATTTTGTCTCCAAAAATAACTTTAACTGGGCTTCTTAAAAGATACATCAGTATTTTCCTACCCACTGGAAGAAGGTGACATTGATTTCAAAAGTGAAGATTTACCAGATGCACTAGTAGTCATCTAAGTTGTGGATGATGAGAAAGGTGTGTGTGTGATGCACTTTGTGTGATGTCAGAAATAATTCCAGCCTGATGGCAAAGTACTGAAGAAGCTGTTTGATTTCATTGTGTGGCTCAAGGACAGAAGTGCCTCAGAGTATCCACTGACTGTGATTATATACCAGCTGAGATCAAGGAATGACCCTGTCTGTCGCCATTGGAGTCGGGGATCTGCTTTGTCTCTGTTACCATGCATATAAGAAAATAACCCTTTTGTGTTTTTTGACACCTGTTATAAAGCACTGAAGTGCACTTCTGCCTGGATAATAGTATAGACCTTTTCTGGTTGCACAAATTCGCCGTGGCTGCTACCTCCTTTATCTTTCACCTTGAGGCAGCTTCTGCAGTCCACATGGCAGTACTGGGGTTACCTTGGAATATGTGGGGTAACGTCCTTTCTGTTCAAGGGAGTACCTAAGAGCAAACTTTATGTATTACATAGAGGAACCTTTCAGGGAACCGGTTTCCAGTGATTCACTGTCAAAAAAGTGAAGTCAAAAAAGTCTGATCTAGCCTAAGACTACCTGAGTGCTCATCCAGTGTTAATCTGACTTTAGGTAAATCAATAACATTGGTATTGTTGTAGAATAGAACGGTATTGACTGTCTTTCCATTTAAAGTTTTTTCTCCTATTCTTGATTTCTTTGCAGCACAAAACGTTTAATTGTTGATGTAATCCGCTTCCAACCAGGGGAGACGCTGACCGAAATCTTGGAAACTTCAGCTACCTCAGAGCAAGTATGAAGTTGTTTATCTGCATTAGTTTTAGACTAGAAAATTGCCATCTGTCTAGATATATGTGGGTATACATAGGAATCTCCATTTATGTGTTGCAGTGAAGCTGTCTCCACTGATGGTGGAGCAGGGTGTAATAACAATAAGGAGGGTATATAATGGAAGTAAACTGTATGTGTGAATCTTACTCCTCCGATAGTGACTAGAATGTGTTTATCTAGAAGACCGTTTTAGAAGGCAGGTAGGCTTCTGCTGGTTCCCATGTGTGGAATATGTTCATCAAAATGCATTCACTGGAGTCAGTACAGGAGTCACAGAGCAAAACTCTTTGTCCTGTGTTATGCTTGAGGTCAGACAATCTGTTTCTGCTTCTTTGTTACCTTAAAGCCGATCTGCTTATGAACTTTGTAATTTTCTGGGTTTTTCTTCTAGGAAGCGGACCATCATAGAGCTATGCAGAAACGGGCCATTCGTGATGCTAAGACTCCTGATAAGATGAAAAAATCTGTCTCTGTAAAGGAAGATGGCAACTTGAATCTTCAAGAAAAAAAAGATAAAATCAAGGCAGGCCTGAAGAAGTTGACAGAACTGGGGACAGTGAATGCCAAAAATAAATACCAGGAACTAATCAATGACATTGCAAAGGTAGTATACCATTTGATGGTTTCCTAGTAATCATAATGGAATTTCCCCACAGTTTGCAGTGTTGTGAAACTGGCCTGAGTTTTCAGGAGGAGTAAAGTTTGTAGTAGCTAGTTCAAACCTACCTTTTGTTACAGCATTTCCGCCTCTTTGGCATCTGGGAAGTCCTTTATAGGACGTTTCTGTTCTCTCAAATGACTGTCTTGCCAGGTTCTTGGGTACTTTAAGGAAAAGCTTAATAGCCTGGAGGGGAAGTCCTGATGGATGGTCTTTTTCTCTGCTCCTTTTCGCTATTTGAAGTAGTACCTTTACAAACTTGTTCACCTAAGGGAGTTTTGCCCATAACTTTAAGACATCCTATCTGTTATTTTTGTTTAAATGTACCCATTCAAGAATACCTGAATGCTAAGTAGGGGGGAGCTAAGGAAGAATCCAATACTGTTGTACATTGCTACAGTGACAATGTATTTTATATCACATGTTTACTGGAAAACTATTTGGGAAATGTTATGTAAGTAAACCAACTAAATAATTGCCTTGCGGGATCTGATTAGAATTAATCATACTATGGATAATATATATCAAAAATTAAAACAGGAGTCGACAAATACATGGTATTTTTTGTTCAGGTATTAAGGCAACTGATGCTTAGTGGCTGACTAACAAAAGAAAATAACCAAGTCTGTGTGCTGCTATGGTTATAGTCATGATTTGTAAGATAGTTTCCCTACCCAGTGGTGACAAAAATGCTGCTTTCCTTTATATCATGTGCTGTCGGTGCCCACTCTAGTCATTGCAACTAGGACAGCATTGAAGTTTGAGAAAGCAACAAAAGGTTCTAATGTACTGCTGTGTTGTACTAGTTGGTTAGTTCCACAAATAGTCATCACAGAGAAGCAACTGTGACTCCTAAAATGAGGCTTGTAGCATGAAGCAAGACTAAGCAAAATCAAACGGTGTGTTTCAAATACTCTGTGCTCTGGGCCTGAGCAACTGGAGAGCTCAAATGACTGTTAAAGTCTCTGCCTGTCTTCCTCTGTGGTGTAGGATATCAGAAATCAGCGTAGATACCGTCAGAGAAGAAAGGCGGAGCTGGTGAAGCTGCAGCAGACATACAGTGCCTTGAACTCCAAAGCTACATTTTATGGGGAACAAGTAGATTATTACAAAAGTTACATAAAAACCTGCTTGGATAACCTGGCCAGCAAGGGCAAGTAAGTATCTGGGAACCATATAATCACAGGATGGTTTGGGTTGGAAGGGATCTTAAAGACCACCTCATTCTAACCCCCCTGCCATGGGCAAGGACAACTTCCACTAGCCCAGGTTGCCCCAAGCCCTGTCCAACCTGGTCTTGAACACTTCCAAGGATGGGGCAGCCACAGCTTCTCTGGGCAGCCTGTGCCAAGGCCTCGCCACCCTCACAGGGAAGTTGTTGACTGCAATTCTTGAGTGCAACTATCCAGTCGAGTCCTTATCCATCAAGCGGTCCATCCATCAGATCCGCGTCTCTCCAATCTAGAGACAAGGATGTCGTGCAGCAGTGTCAAATGCTTTTCACAAATCCAGACAGATGGTGTCAGTCACTCTTCCCTCATCCACAAATGCTGTAACCTGTCATAGAAGGCCACCAAATTTGCCAAGCACCTGAGTGAAGGCATAGTGGCTGTCATCAGTCACCTCCTTGTTTTCCATGTGTCTTAGCATAGTTTCCAGGAGAATCTACCAGTCACAGAGGTGAGGCAGACTGGCCTGTAGTGCACTAGGTGTTCCTTATTTGCCTTTTCCAGTCAGTGGGAACTTCACTGGACTGCCACGTTTTCTCAAATATGATGCACAGTGGCTTATCCACTTCCTCTACCAGTTCCCTCAGGACTCAAGGGTACATCTCATCAGGGCCCATGGACTTGTGCGCCTTCAGGTTCCTTAGGTGGTCTCAAACCTGATGATTTACAGTGGGTGGTTCCATGGCCCTAGAAGTGCTTCTTTCAGAAAGCACGTGTTGCTAAGAAGAATCGTAATGCCATCTGCTCAAAGGTCGTCAGCCAAGCTCTTTTGCCACAGTGATAGTTTTAGGGAAAGGGTCTCAGCAGCAGTAGGAAAATACAGGGAGAGGTCAGTGCCATGAATGGCATCAAAAAGACAAACTTGAAAGACTTTTTGGTCCGTCAGGGAGAAGAGAGTGTAGAGAGTCCAGTGGCTATGAAGCAGGTTGCCCAGATAATGCACATGCTGCTCAGCCAGCCTGTCCTTTTTAGGAACAGGGAATGAAAATAATGTAGTTACATACAAATAAACCATTGATTACAGATTGTCCTCTCTTTTATGCCAAATGCAATCAGTTGTTATAGTGCTAGACAATTCAGATTTTCTGGGGGGAAAAAAAGGAAAGTGCTGTGAAATGCGGGAATGTGAAAAGAGTAATTGGCAGTGACAACTGAGGCAAGATAGTTGTTGAGTAATCTCAGCTTTCTCCATGTCAGTTGTCACTAGATCCCCTTTTACCTAATGATAGATGGTACTGCTTTTTATGAATTACCATGTGGTTATGTTTTTGAAGGATTTTGGTTTTTTTAATATTATTTTTCATCTCCTGTAGCATATTATTGGTTAATAGTGGAAAATCAAAGGTCTGATCTGTGCTACAAGTGCTTTGTAAATAAAGTCACTAGTATAAATACATAATCATCTATCGTCTGCGTTAGTCACAGTTCATTAGCTATACTGATTCTATCCCCTCCTTCAAATAGGATTAAGTGTTTGTTGTTCAAAATCTCTTTATTTGTTTGACCTTCTTATTTGGTTGTTTTATTTTTTTCTTTTTCCCCCAGAGTCTCCAAGAAACCTCGTGAGATGAAAGGCAAAAACAGTAAAAAGATTTCTCTAAAATATACAGCAGCTAGACTTCATGAGAAGGGAGTGCTTTTAGAGATTGAGGACCTGCAAGGTAACCAGTGAGTATCTTTTTAAGACTCTTTAGAGCTAAATAACCTTTCTTGGAGGAAGAGGAAAATAGGTATGTTGAATTCTTATCTATTTCTTAGAACTAGTCTAGGTGCCGATAGCTGAGAAACAGAAATTCGGGGATCTGTTTGAGATTGTGTCAGATTGTCTTGCAGTTTTGTTGTTGGAATTTTAGCATTGTTGCTGAAGAAATTGTTCTGATGATCTAGGCTGGCATCCCTAGGGCCAAGAAACCTTGCATAATGATCACTTTTCAGTTTTATATAATGGGATTTAAACATGACATCCTCTTCCCACCCACCCCTTCTCAGTCACCCCCACGGTCATGGAAGGTTACCTTCTTAGGGGAATTGCTACTATCGCTACTAGCTTTCACTGTTCAAAAATCAGCTTAAATGCGAGCTTGAGTTTCTCCAGCTGTGTTTTGCTAGCCTTTGGAAGTTGGTATATCTTCTATGGAAAATAGAGAAGCTGCCTGTTACTAGAATTTTTTCTACCCAAATTGAAAAATTTTTCAATTTTTTTATAATGTACTCTGTGTACTAAATGAGGCATGGATATATGCAGCACTAAAGTAGACTGTTTAGACTACACAAGCTAAATACTAAATCCTGCTACGCTTGTCTGAAGTTGTGATCTAGCAGACATAGAATCTGTTAGGCTTCCATTCATTGTTGTATTGAGTCTGGTTGGCTTTTACAGTCTCATTCCAAATGGGAATATAGAATAAAGAGTTAAGAGTAGAATTGTTAGAAATTTATCTTCAGATTTCATCTCATATAGTCTCCCCCTGTGATTTTTCATTTCTCAAATTTTATAGGTTTAAAAATGTGATCTTTGAAATAAGCCCGACAGAAGAAGTAGGAGATTTTGAGGTAAAAGCAAAATTCATGGGGGTACAAATGGAAACCTTTATGTTACATTATCAGGTAAGAACTGTCCTATTTAATACTAGCATGTAAGTTCCCCTTGCCAGACTCTTCATGAAAATAGCAATGACATGTTTCTACCTGAACAGTCTGAAAGATGCTTCCAAGAATAACCCATTTGTTGCAGGCGAAACAGATGCAGCACATATGGGGGACTCAAGCTGTTTTTTGTTTCTTTCACTAATGAAAGCCTGATGTCAGACTGTATTCTTAGTTACATTTACACGTACACACACAAAACAAACACTTTCATTTTCAACTTTTTCCTGCTACAGCAGAAAGATTGGGAGTCTGTGGCAGTGGTCAGCTGGGCTTGGGTGTGATGGCTTCAGCCAGTCATCACGTATTGGTATTCTTTCTGGCTACCCTACACATATCAGATACTTTACAGTTCTTAGGTGTCCTCAACCGTTACTTAGGCCAGGCTACTAGAACAGGTACGCCAACTGACCTTTTCCCAAATGGTTCCTCATTCTTTCTCTCATGCCAGTATGTTATGCCTGGTGTCTTTGTCCCCTTCTTGCATTTCTATCTTCACCCATCCCCTACCCATCTGGGTTGTCATTAGGTTTATTAATTGTGGATGTCTCAGGTGTTTCGAAACAGATTGTGTGCAGAAACACCTTGCATTGCAGTTAGTTCGTGTCACCTAACTGGCTGCTGGGACAGAGAGCTGCCTCTCACCTGTTGTGTGCTTTGAGGATTCCCCTGGTTCATTCCGGTTCCTAATTTGTCAGAGCTGGTCGTGAACTTCTTGGTTCATGGGGCTGCCTACCTAAGGTCACTCGCCTTTGGGGCACATGGTTTACTATACCACTATGCCTTTGTAGCACTGCTTTGCAGATAAATTAGATGTTCCGAGAGGACAGCAATGAGAGATTTGACATCACACACATATCCGCATCCTACCCACCATGTTTCCCTGCAAGATTGGGATTGCTGAAAGAAATTAATTGCTGAGATAAATCAGTGCAGGTGCATTGCTGACAAAGCAAAGTATAACTGGAAATACTGCCTACATAAACACCCGAGAGATTGAATCGGCATCGTATACATAGTGACAGAGATGCCATTTCTTTTGCTGCCCTAGACTGAAGTGCTCTAAGCCACCTCCCTGAGATGTCTGACGACTAAAACTTTTAGAAAGTGATGCTGTGGAATGTCGTAATGTTTCATGGGTATATGATACAACTAGGCACATGGAAAACCCTTTCCAGATATTACAACAACTTTATGGCTACTGTGCAAATGAAAAGGCTGGAGATGGCTATATGTGAAGTTTGGCTTTCTTAGAATGGTCTTCTGTTTCTGCTGTCTTTCATAATTTTTTTTTTTTAGCAAACACAGCTTAAAAAAATGAAGATCTTAAATGCCTTAGAATGACTTTATTTTTCACCCACTAAGAGTGGATCTTTAATGAATCTCTTGTTTTTCTGTCTTATGCCATGTACTTTTTGATAGATCCTCCTCAAGATCCTACAGTACTACAGGGTCTTTTGTATTCTCTACAAGCTCTTGAGGATTCCTCACTCATTAAGATATTCCCTTTGGCAGGATCTTTTGCAGCTGCAGTATGAAGGTGTTGCTGTCATGAAGTTGTTCGACAGAGCAAAAGTGAATGTCAATCTTCTGATCTTTCTTCTGAATAAGAAATTTTATGGGAAGTAACCGACTTCTGCTGGCAACTCCTCCGCGAAAGGGGAAACAAATAGAAACCTGCACGTACAACTTTTAATGATGTAGCTATGTATCAGTATATGCCCACGCTGTGCTATAAATATATCAAATGTATCATGAAGGAGGACTAAGAACCTCTTGTGAATTGACAGCCCTGATTGAGTCTGCAGGGAGTTGATTTCCTTTTTATTTATAATCTTTATCTTCAACTTCGAAGATCCCCTTTAAAGAGGTTGTTCTAGAATGTATTTTTACATGGGGTTAGGGATTAAACTAATACTAGAATATACTTAGGGCATTTGTATGCTTTATTTGACTAATTGTGTCAAATAAATTCTTAGTGCCATTTTGGCACTAAGACCAAAAGTGGTCTGTTTGCCTCTTCCTGAAAGCAAAAAAAGGGTTGCAGGTTGTATTTGGGCTCCAATTATTCTCAAGCAGCAATGACCAAAATAAAACATGCTTGAGGTTCAGGTTACTCACTTGTTTGTGAGCTGGCATTGGTAGAGATGGCAGCGGCCACTTGCCAAGATAGAACTACTGTGACTGGGGGAATCAGTAGGTGTCAAAAATAGTTACTGAACTAGTCCTGATTATGTACTACAGCCACATAGAACAGCTTCAGTGTCTCATTTTTCTTCATTTGCTTCTGTTTATCACACTGTAATAATTTACAAGTGGCCGCTTAAGTGGAGGTATTGTGGAATGTATTTACTAGTGCTTACAGATAAAAAGAAGCTTCTTGGGGAAGGGAAGGAAGCTTAAAAAATTTCTTGAGACATGTTAACTTTTAATGTTGCTTGTAAAGCATTTGAAATGTAAAAATAACTTTTGTTTTCCAGTTTAGAGCAATATTCTATATATCTGTGTCTGATGCAATAAACATTAGGCTCTACCTGCAGACTTGTCAAAGGAAGACTATCTCAAATAGTTTAGCCTTTAAAAAAGTTAATTTTTTCCAACTGTACTGAAGTTCCTGTTTCTTTTATTACTTTGCGGGGGTTTTGTTTGGTTTTTTTTACCATGGTGGTGGTGCTGGCTGTTCTGCTATATTCAATAAAAATGCAGAGACTCTTAAAAAAAAAAAATCTGATCTTTAAATTCATCATTTGCTTCAGCTCTTCCCCCAATTTCTCAACTTTTGTTTTTAAGGGACATATTTCTCAATTGCAAATTTAAAGTTATTCATAGGTCACTTACGTTACTTGTTCAGATTAGTAACACTGAACCAGTTGTTTCAGCCTAGATCTTTTTTTTCTCATGAAAGACACTCCTAGTGTTTGGAATGGCTGTATCACTGAGTATAACTCTTCTGCAGTCCTCTGGGAAAGAAATATTTATTTCAATTTGATGGTGTTTAGACTGTATTTAAACATATTCTAGTGTTGGTGCATGTGTGGTCCAACCCTGTAACAAAAATTACTTGCCATACCCGAGAAAGATCTTTATGGTCCAGATCATCTGAAACAGAGATAGGTCAGAAGTGTATTTCCACTGAAATCTGACAAAGAGGTTTGAAATGGGATAAAGTTCTTGCTTTGTTTTGGGGGGGGAAGGGTTTTTTTGTTTGTTTGTTTGCTTTTGTTTGGTTTTGGTTGCCTCTTTCCTCCGTGTTTTCCTGCTGGCCGAGCTCTCCTTGCTGCCCTTTCCTGGGCAGGAGCAGCTGGAGGGCAATTCCTGGAGGCGTTCAGCATGCAGGGATGAGAGGCAGCCCCTGTGTCTGAGGGCTTATGGCTCTTTCTCCAAGTGGGTGTCCCGTGGGTGCAGCAGTGAGGGCTGGCTGAGGGGAGAGCCCAGGGTCAGTGGGTCAATTCCCTGGGACTCCAGGGAATCCCAGCTCCCCTTGGCTTCTCAGAAGGGTTTCTAAGTGCGGCCCTGAGATTTTCTGGCCTTGGAACTGATTGCTGTTTCAGGGCATGGCTCACCGGGCAGTCTGACTTTTAACACTTGCCGGGGCAGGAGAATTGCAGCAGAAGAAAGCAAAGGAAGCCCAGAGCCAGGACTAGGCAGGCCCGGGCCTCTGGCGAGCCCAGGCCTTGCTGCTCGGTGCCGATTGTGCCCGGGGCTTGTTCCTCACCGTTCGGTTCCAAATGAGAGGGGAGCAAGAGGCAGAACAGCCCGCTGCTGCTGCTGGGGCTGAACTGTCTGCAGTGCCCGGGGGCCGGGCAGGACTTGGCCCCGATGCCTGCATGGCTCTGCAGCGGCCAGGGAGGGGTCCCAAAAGTCATCCCCCCGCCTGCTGTGCTGCACAGCAGGGGCTGGCTGGGCCGGTTCCCGGCCGGGGGAGCCCGGGGGAGGCCGTGCTGGGGCTGAGGGGCTGCTGCTCTCTGGGCCTCTCGGGGTTTGCCTTGGAATCCCAAAGCCTGGGCCTGCGCGGGGGGGATGAGGCAAGGGTGACTCTAAATTGGTTTCTTGTGGAGTGTTTTGGGGCCGAGTTAATGCTCTTGGCTTGTTGTGTGTCAATTCCCCGCCATGGTCAGGGCTTCCCGGGGAGCGCTGCTGCTGCTGCTGCTGCTGCTGCTGCCGGGAGAGAGAAATCCTTTGGGAAGCTGGGATAGAAACAGCAACTGCGTGAATTGCTCAGCTTTTCCTAGGTAAGGCCAGGTTTTAGGGAAGAAAGGCCCGTACTCGCGAAAGGCGCCGCGGGTCTTGCAAGGGGGGGGGGGCGCGAGGCTGCAGTGCCGCTCCCGGCCGTGTCCGCCAGGCGGCGACTGCGAGGCAGCGCCCGGCGGTCGGGGCGGGCTGGGAAGCGGCGCCTGCGCAGAGCGAGGCGTTGGCTGGGCCGGCGCCTGAAGCGCTCGGGGCCGCCGGGCAGGGCAGTGCCCGGCTGGTGGGTGCCTCGCAGAGAGAAGAGCCCGGCCCTGGGAAGGCAGGGGCCTGGGCTCAAGCTGCTCTGGACCGCTGTGGGGATGGGTTTGAAGTTTTGGGATCACTTGTTTCTGTCCCTACCTTCCCACTGAAAACAATAACTTAAGAAGTCCTCCTCTGGACTGGTCCAGAGAAATTGTGGAGTCTCCATCCCTGGAGATGCTTAAAACACTTTTGCTCAGGCAAAGTCGGGAGCAACCTATTCTACCTAATCCCGCTTTTTGAGCAGCAGAGATTGGACTAGATGATCTCCAGAGGTATTGTCCAACCCCCACCATTCTGTCCTTCTGTAAAGGGGCTTTGCACTGCCCTTTGGAACTGTAATCTGTTGATGACTTGTGTTGAGGTCACACTGTAGCTTGTTACACTGCAGCTTGTCACACTGAATGGCAGCCTGAATAATTTAATATTGAACTGTGATTAATCACAAGATGAAAGCTAAGATAGGCTGGTAAGAGGCAGTGTTCTTTGCTGCAGCATTTCCCACCTGAGGTAATTTTCCTTGTTCTGAAAGTGTCAAGTACAGTTGGGCAATGTACTACATAGGAAGAAGGGAAAGAATCTCAAAAACAAATAAATGAACAAAAAAACCCCTTTAGATTTGCTTGTGCAAGAAGAAGATTGTTCTTCCACTCAGCCAGGTTTTGAGAGGACAAATTAATTGTTTCTCTGACAAAACTATACATTGGAGGCTGTTAATGATCCCATAGTCTGTGCTAAAGGTTTTAGCTGATTGTGTTTGTCATCAGCTTTTACTAAAGAAAAAGCAAGCCTTCTTGGCTGTGTGGATATCACAGGAACAAACTGATTCCATTCATGTAGATAATGATAACAGAGCCAAAACAAAAATATTGCAAGTGTCCTATGTGGACCAATATACAGAATTTCAAAAGGGATTGTAGTGGTCCGATATACAGAACTAACATACTTCCTGTTCCTTATTTGCTGATCAGGTCATATTTACCTGCCTGTCAGGACTGTCGGAGCACTGGATGGAGAGCAGGTCATATGAAGAGGATTAGGGAGTAAAAGGCAGCTTGTACTGAAGTGCAGGGAAAGTATAAATATTTATATATATTGGCACAGTGCCTAGCCTTAATGCTTAAAATCCTTTGGAGAGCTGTCTGCATATTTACTGTATTAATGATCAAATGCAAGGCTGTGTTGGGAAAGGTCTTCCATTTGGAAGTCAGTAGTTGAGACTGTCTTGCCTATGAAAAAGAGGGAGAATTTTCGTTAGAGGATGTAGGATTCTGGCTGGTAATAGTCTTAATTCAAGGTATTTTTAGAGAATTGATTTAATACAAGCAGAACAAATGGCCAGAAGTGTAATGAGAGACAAGTTGAAATTAGAAAGTAGATGTGCATTTTGAATGTATTGTCATAGCAACTGATTCAATTCTCCCTCTCTTGCTGTTCTGGGGACCTTTTAAATGTGCTTTGGCTAAATAAAAAGTATTAGACTATTTCAGAGCCAAAAGGTCAGTTCTTGTTGTCTCTTTTGCACTTTAATTCTAGTACACTGATACTTGCTAACCACTTATAACCCTAGATGCAGAATGAGAACTTGGGTTATTAACAATAAACAGCAGAAAGTAAAAACAAGTAAAACAGCAGAAAGACTTGACCTTTCTTTTGAATTGCCCTGTGGTGTTAAAAAATACCAAACAAACCTCCTTCCCCAAAGAAACACCCCCCAAAATACCCCAACAACTCACCAAACAGAAAATCACCGACAACCAAAAAGCAGAAGTAACAAACATGAACAGCAAGTGGAGGAAGAGTTTGAAAGCGGGCTGGACAGAAGCAGAAGTGTTACTGCCCACTCTTAGGCCACTGTGCTGATTAAATGGGTGTTGTTAGGTTTAGATCAGTAGTTCGTTGTTGTTGGGTTTTTCGGTGGTGTTGATTTTTTTGTTGTCGTTGTGGGGGATTGTTTGTTTGTTTGTTTTATTTTGTTTTTTTTCTGTATTAAAAATCTGGCTCAGTTACTCTCTAGTTCTGGTGTGTTTTCTTTTCCAGGTGGTTGGTGTTTCTGCAGTGTTTGGCACAGGACTGGGGGAGATTTTTACCCAGCTTTCTAAAGCTGTAGATGAATAGGAGAGGTAAGGGGATAACTTTTGGTCCGTGACTCAGTGACCACTTCCTGAAGGTCCTGATTCATGAGTCTGCTCCTTTGATTTGAAGGAGTGTACAGTTGCCATAGCCAAGGTAGCTTAGGGTGTCCAGTATCAGCATAAAAAGCAGCAGTAAAAAGGAACTATTCAGAGATGAATTTTTGTGCTGTTCCGTGAAAAAGTAAAAGCTATCTGTGCCAGCAAGTCTGTGAAGTAATTTTTTTCTTGTAATTCCATACCAAGTTTTGAATTGTTGCTGTTTTAATGAAGTATGTTCATTGATTTTGCATCCATTGGTTTCAGAATCCAAATCTGGGGAAAAAAGGACTGTCTTTCTGAAATGTCTCTCAAACATGAAAGCCTAGAGAAAACTTTTTTTTTGAGTAAAAAGGAGCCTCCAGGATGATCCTTATGCAATACAAATCATGTGTTTTTCAGACTGAATGCACTCCCTTTATTCACCTTTTCAGAGAGTATCGTCCAGAATACGAGCGCCTGAGAAAAACACTGGTAAGTGTTTTTAGCTGTTTTACACCTGAACAGTGTATCTTGGGTCACTTTTAGGCACACAATTGCCTTTATGTTGAGAGGGTCTAACATTTCATTTACTAGTCGTACTCACTGTGGGAAAACTCCTGTCCTGAAGGAGTCCACCATTTGCCTTTTTTTTCCTAGATGTGGTGGAGCATATCTTTACAAAAATAAAGATTTTGTAAAACAGATGTTGCTCACTGGTTTAGTGCTAATATTTGAGCTAATTGTGTGAAAATGATTGGGAAATAAGATTGTGTCTTCCATTCAGATGGATAGAGAGTTCTTAAAAATAAATTTCCAAAGGGATTTGTTGAGACTATCCCTGTATCTTCCTGCACCAGTGAAGAGTACTAGTTTGACTTAGTAAGAAAGACTGAATTGCAGTGCCAAAATCAGTAGCTCTGCTCACCTTGAGTTGTGGCTGTCCAAAGGACAGTTCTCTGCAGGCACAGCTACACAGAGTTTGGCTTCCTGGCGCTGCTGAAAACGTCCTAGAATCCCACCTGACTGGAGGTTGCTTTCCACGCTTAGTCAGAAGTTCTGTGTAACCTTAGTTGAAATGTAAGACCTGCATAGTGACTTCTGCTCTCTGACTGGGGGACAGGCTGCTGGGTTTGGGTGAGGTTTCTCTTCTGGTGTTTTAAATGTTCTCAGAATCCACAGGTAAATCTTTGTCTACGGGAGAAAGCTCAAAATAAACAAAAGAGAGAGCAGCTGGAACACTTGTGGAAGGACATGGGCAGCGTGTGTGTGCAGGGCAGCACAGTGGCAGGTACCTCCCCAGGAAGATAAAGTTTACTGCAGAAGTTTTCTGAAGAGTTTGCCTTGTGAAGTAGTACAGTGCTTCTTTGTCCTCACAGCAGAAGTGTGAAAGCAGCTCCATGTTAGAGGAGCGGGGCTTTAGTTCCTGTGGGGTTGGTCACACTCAGCTCTTCCTGTGTCAGTCACAGGTTTGGAAGAAACCCTGCTGTGTAGCTAAAGCAGTGGACCTACTAGAAATAATGAAATACTTTAGAAAAGGTGAAACAGTCAGATCAGAATATGAGAAAGCTCTGCTGTTGGCTGCACTGTTCCTTAGATGAGGCGAGTAGGTGCTGATGGAGTCTGTCCTGTGTCTGGGATCCACAAGCAGCTTTCTGTCCCCTTAGAGCAGGTGTTCATTGCTGGGTTTCTGTGCAGATAGAAACCTTACCTTTAGCAAGCTGGTTGGTGTACAGCTGTTTCTGTTCCCTTCAAGGACCTGATGCTTCTGCAATGGGTCCCTCTGAGCTAATACTAACACGAGGAACTCTCGATGAAGAGCAAGAAGAGAGGGAGAGTGACGCTGATGGCATTGACCATGAAGGTAAGGGAATGAGGTCTAAAAGCTGCCTCTCAAGAAATCCCCTCTATATTTCATGTCCTGGATGGACTGTAAGGAGAGCCTAGAAAACAAGCAAACATTCAGTCACCTGACGTGTCAGAATCTGTAGCAGAAGCTCAGCTGCAATGGTCAGTGCAGGGATATCACTCTGTAACCTTTGTGAAAGTTCAATTGTAAATTTTCTATTCAAGTAATTAATAGGTGTATAATACACATAGACCAGAGAACTCGTTAGGCTTGGGGCATGCAGTGACCTCTGAACCTGATTGATGCACAGATGTGTCCATCATCTTTTTGGCCTTACAGTTTCTGCCCCTGGCTCTCTTCCCTTTTCCTGTGACTGTGGTCTTGGAGCAATCTTCTAAGTTGTTACAGTGTGATTTTTCTCTTCTATAGCTCACAGACTTAATCTTCATTCTTTCCCTGTTCCACTGATGGGTAGGATCACTTATTTCCTTTGCCCTGTAATGTAGCTGAAGATGGAATAGACTTTCTATGTTGCTTTGGCTATCCTCATTCTAGCTTTTTTTCAGAAACACAAGAAGAACAAGTACTGAAATAGCGCTGAACTTCAGCAGCAGCGGGGACTGCGCAGGAGAAGGAGGGTGGGCAGCGGGCCTGGGGCAGGCAGGGGGATGGGGGTGGGGGCGGGCACTTAAAAGATTTCGGCCAGGGAGCTGATCTCAGCCAGCACCCAGTCGGGGCAGTCTGAGTCCCCGTAGAAGCAGAACTGCTGCGTGGGGAGAGGCGGTCAGAGGCGCACTGCCGCTCTGCGTCCTCCCCGCTCCCCGCCGCCGACTCCCGGCCCACCACGTCGCCGCTGCTCCCCGGTCCCCCGTGCCGCACAGTCCGCCTTCGCGATCCGGAACCGCCCCGTGTGCCGGTGGGGGGCTCCCCGAGGGGCTCTGCAGGGGCCTTGGGGCCGGGACCCCGGGGGTGCAGCCCGACCAAGGGGCGGGGCAGGGGACGGGGTCCCGGGAGCGGGACCCGGGACGGCCACGGACCCGCGGGAAGGGCCCCTCCGACACGGCCCTCGTCCCTCCTCCTGGCCACCCGAGCACCTCCCGCCACCCCGCGGGCTCCAAGCCCCGCCAATCCGGGCCCGAGGCAGCGTCTGGCCCGCCAATCCCGGCCCGCCTTTCTCGGCGCCGTCCAATCACAGCCCGCCTTTTCAATCCGGCAGCGGTCCCGCAAGCTCTGCCCGCTCAGCCGCGGCGCGGCCCCTCCGCGCGGCACCGTCCCCCCGTTCCCCTCAGGCGCTGCTGGGACCACGGAAGAGCGGTGGGAGCTCCGCGGTCACGTCCCGTCCGGGAGCTCTCCCAGGAGAAGGAGAGGGAGGCGGGGAGCGGGCGGGAGGGGCTCCGGGAGCGGGGCCTGCGGGGCCAGCGGGGTTCTCGGGAACGGGCGGGCGGGGATTGGCTGGGCTGGCACGGGGGGGCGGGGCTGTGCGGGCCGCGGGCTATAAATAGCGGGCGGGGGAGCGGGGGGGGGCAGTTCGGCGGCGGAGGTGGAAGCGGCGCTGGAGCTGCGGGAGCCGGGGCGAGATCGGCGGTGAGCTGGGGCGGGACTCCCGCGGCTGCCGCTCCCGACGTGCAGGTCCGATCCCGGCCCGCCACTCCCAGCCCGCTTTTCTCCGCTCCGTCCAATCGTAGCCCGCCCTTTCAATGGGGCCGCGGTCCCGTAAGCTGTGCCCGCTCAGCCGCGGCGCGGCGCCGCCCCCCTTCCCCACGTTCCCCTCAGGCGCTGTAGGTGCCGGCGCCTTTGCTTCCGGAGCCGCGCCTGCGCTGCCGCAGCCCCCGACAGGCCCTGTTGGGACCAGGGAGGGCGGGTGGCACAGCTCCGCGCTCACGTCCCGTCTGGGAGTTCTTCCGGGAGGCGGGGAGGGGGCGGGAGCGGCGGCGGCCCTTTCAACGGGGCCGCGGTCGAGCAAGCTCTGCCCGCTCAGCCGCGGCGCGGAGCCGCCCCCCTCTCCACCTCGTCCCCCGCGTTCCCCTCAGGCGCCGGTCTCGGCGCCTTTGCTTCGGGATCCGGCGGAGCCGCGCCTGCGCTGCCGCGGTGCCCGCAGGCGCTGTTGAGAGGGCGGGTGGGAGGTCCGCGGTCCCGTCCCGTCCCGGAGTTCTCCCGGGAGAAGGGGAGGGAGGCGGGGAGCGGGCGGAAGCGGAGCAGCCCCTGGGAGCGGGGCGTGAGGGGACAGCGGGGTTCTTGGGGACGGGCAGGGCGGGAACGGGCAGGCGGGGATTGGCGGGGCCGGACGCTGCCGGACGCTGGGATTGGCTGGGCTGGCACGAGGGGGGCGGGGCTGTGCGGGCCGCGGGCTATAAACGGCGTGGGCGGGGGGCCCTGGGGGCAGTTCGGCGGCGGGGCTGGGGGCGGCGCTGGAGCTGCGGGAGCCGGTCCGGGATCGGCGCGGCCGCTGAGCCAGGGTGGGACCCTCGCGGCTGCCGCTCCAGGGAGTGGTGGGGAGCCATGGGGCAGCACCCCCTCGGCTGCCGATCCAGGGGGGGCCGGGGTCGGTCCCCCACAGCTGCCGAGGCAGGGCGTTGGGCAGGCGGTGTCCCGGGCAGCTGTGCCGGCCAGCTTTGGTCAGTGCTCAGTGGGGGAGCAGCCCATGCTCAGGGGTGCTGCCCCGAACCAGAAGGATGAGGATGCAACCTCTCAGTGGGGCTGGTATTGAAAGTATTGTTACAAAGAAAAGTAAAAAAAGATGTTTCATTCTATTATAATTTTATTTTACTTTTATTTTCATCTTTGACTACTTGATTGTTTATTCTATTGTTTTGTTGCTGTTCCCGTTGGGATGGGTGGGACAGCTCTTAGAGATATTTAAGTGAATGACAAAGACTGATTTGTGACCTTGTCAACAGCCCCGGGCTGCAGAGATACCCAGGAGCAGATTTAGGCAGAGGCAGCAGAAAGCTGAGGCAGAGGCAGCAGAAAGCTGAGAACCTGGAGCTCAGGCAGCAGAGCTGATGGAGACATAAAGACGGTAGGACTGTGGGCAGAACAAGAGTGGGGCTGGATTAGGGAGCATGGACCTGGCATAAGTACTGCAGGGATGGAGCTGGGATAAAAATAGTCGGGCCTGGCCTGGAATGTGGGCTTGAGAGCTGGGGTGGAAAACTCAGACCTTTAACAAAAGGAAGATGCTAGGATTGGAACATGCAGCAGCTTTACCAGGAGCTGACAGCAGAGCTGGCAGAGAAATAAAGGTTGTGGGTCTGGGTATGGGATGGGGAGAGTGGTGCTCGGAAAGGGACTGTGGAGGAGGGATAGGGACTGTGGCACTGCAGCAGAAATCACTGTAGGATTGAGACAGGGACTGGCACCGTCGCTGAAACATCTGTGTGTCTGTGGAATAGGGATTGATGGGCAGGAACATGGACTGGGGGGGAAGAGCTGAAATCAGTCTAGGGCAGGGATCTGGACTTTGGAGTTGGGATCGGGTTTGTGGGGCTGGAGGAGCACCTGGGGGACTGGGAATGGGAATGTGAAGTTGGAGCTGGAAAGTCAAGCTGAAGATCCTACAGTGAGAACCTGGAGCAGCTTCCCGTGGCGGCGCTGGCAAGATGCAGAGCTACTGCTGAGAGAGCAGAGCTGGCAGTGCAATAAAGCTTGTGGGTCTGGAGCTGAAATCACTGAGGGGCTGGGATAGGGATGGGTTCTGGGCTTGGGACTGTAACACTTGGGCAGGAATCTGTGTGGGGAGGAGATAGGTCCTGTGGCACCGTTGCTGAAATCTCTATGCAGCTGGAAATGGGATTGTAAATTGGGAATGTGGACTGGGCGGGTAGAGCTGAAATCAGTCTAGGGCTGGGCTTGTGATTT